TTTTTATGAATTGTCGTTATATAATTAAATCTAATATCATAATAAAAACATGAATATAATAGTCTTTTTATAAGAATAACATTTTTTCAATTTTCATTTCCTTAGCTTTTTTTCCAAATTAAAGTATTAAAAAAGTGAGGATTATAAGAAAAACTAAATGTTATTGGGTTTTCACCTCTTTCTTTTATTTTAAATTAAAAGTTTATTCAAACAAATGAATGATTTTTTTATTTTCATTACTTTTTTTTTTATTTTCCTTTCCTTTCCTGTTATTCCTCTCTCCTCAATTCAAACATAATGTAAATCACTCATTAAATTCATATGAAAGGTATTAAAATTTTGATTGCCATTATTAATAAATAAAATAATTTTATTTCTTTTTTTTTTCAATTACAAATATTCAACTCTTGGATTTTATTTATTAAAAAATTAATTTTAAATTTTTTTTAAAAAATATAACCTATTGGCTCCTCATTTTAAGCTATATATATGTATATATATATATATATATATTTAATATATGATTTTAAAATGATTAGCTATATATATTGTAAGAATAAAATGTACGAAGTATGCACAAATTAAAAAAATTCAATATGATTATTGATTTAATTTGAAAGATATAAAAAGATGAATTTCAAATTCATAAGTACATATAAATATTTCAAACTCACTATTAAATAAAGATCCAACAAATCCTTAAATTTGAAAAATAATCATGAAATAATGTTTATATTTACTTGTGTGCTTTATCATACATTTTACACTAATTGTAAAATCCAAATACCTTCTTTTAAATCTATTTTAATAAATACAATCTATAAGTTGTTGGAAAAAAATAAAAATAAAATATGCTCTCCAATTTTAAATATAATTATATAAGAAGATTTGTTTATACTTTGATTTCAAATTAAAATAACTATAACATATAAATTTAAAATTTAAAAGAAAGATAATATTTTTTGAGACTTAATTAATTAATTAAAATAATTTTATAAAAAATAAAAACCCCATGGATTGTACGGATAAAACTAGTAAATATATAAAAGATAAAGTCTTTGGCAAAAAAAGAAAACTTTCAATGTGAATGGTTTATATTATTAACATATGGACAATCTTAAAAATACCATGTTTCCTTTAATAAATTTATTTTGTTTTATTTGATACATTTTTAATTTAAAAAATAATTTTTAAAAACTAAATTGACTACTTTTTTTTATTATTTACCTTAAATCACTCTTTTTAATTTCATATGAAAGGTATTAAAATTTTGATTGCCATTATTAATAAATAAAGTAATTTCATGTCTTTTTTTTAAATTACAAATATTCATCTCTTGAATTATATTTATTAAAAAATATAACCTACTAGCTCCTCCTTTTAAGTTATATATATGTATATATATTTAATATATAATTTTAAAATGATTAATAGATAATCAAATCAATTAAAATTAATTTTAGTATGTCAAATCAAAATTAATTTTATTATCGTTATTACACTAATTTCAAAATCTCTCTTTTCATTTCTCTCAAGTATATTGAATATGTACTATACTTGACTATTTTAATTGTCAAGCATAAATTATTTTTAATTTAAATATTATTGTTCTTATTTTGTTCTTAATTTATTTTAGTTAATTAGTTATTCAAAAATAAATAATATTTTCCTTACATGTTAATAAGAATCATTGAACGTGTTTTATAATAATGGAAATATGGCATATGAAATTAAATTTATTTGATCATTAAATTTTATATTTTATATTTGAAATGCATAATTGATTTTAACACATGTCAATTTTTTAAATTGTTCACATGTTGCAAAATATAAAATTTACATGTTAATAAGAATCATTGAACGTGTTTTATAATAATGGAAATATGGCATATGAAATTAAATTTATTTTATCATTAAATTTTAAATTTTAAATTTTAAATGCTTAATAGATTTTAACACATGTCAATTTTTTAAATTGTTCACATGTTGCAAAAGATAAATTATTCACATCAAATTATTTCCTTTTTGTTCAAGGCTTTGGCTTTTATATAAGATATAAGATAAGATATAAGATTTATATAATTGACCAAATTAATTGTAACTTTTCATATAAGGTAAAAATATTGGATATTTAAAAGGTAATAAATGTAATTGATTTAGTCTAACTAATTTTTTTAACTTATAAAAATGTTCTTATAAATAATAATAATAATTTTTAAATAAATAAAATACATTTATTACGGAACACTTAGTGATTACCCATCCACATGTCAAAAATATAAACTATCCACAATGAACTATTTTCTTTTTATCAAAGGGTTTGGCATTTTATATATTTATATAATAATATATAAGATATAAGATAAACTATATTCACCTAATTTTAAGAGAACATAGAAATAATTAATTAGATAAAGTTACATATTTTAAAAAAAATAATGTCAAAATAAAATTTAATATTAATTGTATAACGTTTTTGTTGTAATATTAATATATTAAATTTAGAACTTAATTATATATATGATTTCTCCGAATGGAGGAAGAAGTTGTATTAATATATATCTTATATTCTAAAAAAGTTAAACCTATGTTAGAACCAAAGCATTGACATTTTTCTTTCAATATTGCTTGCGTGTGTTTCTTGTTATGAATTAGTGACATATCAACATGGTATCTTGGATGTCTATCTACCTAAAAAAAGTTGAATCAAGAATGCCTATCTAAAAAAAATATAGAAGAATATAGAAAATTGGGTATAAGAGTTTCAATTATATCTTGAGAATTTCCAAAATTTTAAAACTTGTTAAATGAAATAAATGGTAAATTTCACAAAAATGAGGAATTTGTTCCATTTTTATAAGATTAGTAAAAATCACAAATTAACACCATCTTACATCATCTAAAGTTTCATTTATTAAGAACTTAAAAAAAATTTTTTTTATTTTCAATTAAAACTAAGACATATTTAGTTAGATCACAATTAATTATATCATTTTTGGTCGACTTAGCTTACAATATAATATATGAGAATTCTTATGACTTTGGCTCTCAACTAATGCATAGTTGTCAAGTATGATAGCATCGAAATTACTTAATCGTCATTGGCATTGATTGTAAAGCCTTGCAAATCAATATAATTTTATTGACTAATTACCCAAAATAAAACAAAATCGTTAAGCTTTTACTAACTAATACTTGGCAAAAGAAAATAATTATCTAGCAACATCAAATTCAACATATATATATTTATAGGATATATTAAAGATTCGCCTTTAAATTATAAATTATAAAAGAAAAAGTATATTAAAATATATAGTTGATAAAATTGCTATTCTAAAAATAAAATCTAACAATTGTATAAACAAAATTATATGAGTAAAATTTCAATGGACTTACAAAAAAACAGTAAGCAAGATTACAAAATAAATTTCTTATAAAATAATAGAGACAAAATTGCAATAAAACAAAGTTGAAAAATAGTCTAATTCGATTTACTTAATATTTTTTCTAAAAAAAATATTTGTATTTATATTGTTATTAAGAGGCATTATCGCAAATGCATTAAAAAGTTATTATTATTAACCATATAATGTAGTAAGTAATAAAAAAAATACGAAATTAATGTATTTTTTCTTCAAAATTACATAATTCTTTCCTAATTTGTATTTTTAAAAAAGAAAACAAAATCTTCCTAATTTAAAAATTTTATTATTGTCAACTTGTTAAATGGCTAATTTCTCTTTCTTTATTTACTATATTAAATTTTATTTAACTTTTCAAGAGTAATTAGAAGATAAGGAAATATATTCATGAGTAATTAACTTTTTATTTAGTTTCTATTTTTATTTGTATTATTGATCAAATTAATTATAGCTTATCCATATAAGATAAAAATATTGGTTATTTAAAAAGTAATAAATGTAATTAATTTAGTCTAACTAATTATTTTTTAACTTAAAATATAAATTATCCACATTGACTATTTTCTTTTTTATCAACGGGTTTGACTTTTATATATTTAAATAAGATAAGAAAAGATTGGTTCAATCCGATAAATTTTTATATATTTAAATCAGATGGTTTAATTCCATAACTACTTATTAGTCTTGTTTCTTTTGAACTTTTAGGTTTATTTTGTTATATAATTTGTCAATATTATTTACTATAATTTTTTATATTCTCATAACAAAGAGAAAATATGTTGGTACTCAAATATAAAAATATTTTGCATAAAATTTTAAAAATACAATTTTAAGATGTTATTGAAGAAAATATTTTTCATATTAAATATAATAATAGTATATGACTAATATGATGATTGTTAAATCTTTATCAAATTAAATGAAATTACGCTGTTAAATATAATCCTAAGCTTAATTGTTAGAAAAGTAAAATAAAGTTGAACAAAAATGTTGTAAGTTTAGAATTTAAATTTTACTATCTATAACTTTTTTTTAAAAATTTTTAGGTTATGATTTTTTAAAATAAAAAATTAATGATTTTTTAATAAATGTTAAAGCTTAAATGCATAGATATTTTACATAACAAATAAAAAATAGTTTTTTTTTAAATAGAAAAAATAAGTTTTATATCAAAAGTAAAGAAAGTAAAAGAATATGATAAAATAACAAAAATAAAACTCTTAAATTTTATCATTTTATCTAAATAAATTATTATTTTTTAAAGCATCTAAATAAATATTTAATATTTAATTTACATTTAAATAAACCTTTAACCTTTTGTTTATATTTAAACAAATTCTTAATATAAATCAATCTATGATTTAAAATAATAATTTATTTGAATATATGTAAAAAATATATATATATAAATTTATTTAATAAAAATAAAATAGTTAAGAAATTTTTTAATAATTAGGCGAGTACGTGTAAACTAAAGACAACATACAGGCCATTTGAGAATGAAGTAAATTAAAAACATAAGATGCTGTCGAATTAGAAAAAAAAAAAAGAAAGTAATCCAAAGAGGAAGGGCGGCTTTTTCTTTCTTTCTCTCGGCTTTTCTATTCTTTTGCCCTCCCTTTTCAAAAAGCAGAACAACTAACCAAAAAAAGAAAAAAACACTTCCCTGCATATTCTCTTTTCTTACATTATTTATCTTTTCATCGTCAACTATTTATATTAATTTCTCTACATAATCCATACACTTCCTCTTCATTTAGTCCTAGCTGATCCAACAATCTAGTTCCGCTATTTTAATTTTCCTTTTTATTTTTTCCTCAATTTTCATGATCTGTAAGTTCAATTCTCTTTTTTACCCTTTTTCTTGAATTAGGGTTTCTTATAACCAAATACTCTCTCCCTTTTTTTTGTTTTTGTTTTTGCTCTTTTGTTTCAACTTCCCTCTGCTTTACAAGTTTTCATGGGGTTTTATTTTGGTTAGAGTTTAGAGAATTTTCTGATTTTTTTTTTCTGAACTTTTGATCTATAATTTTTGTTTTGCATTTTTCGATTATATTAGGCGTACTTGGAATATTATTTTAATTTATTTCTGCTTAGTTACCAAACTTGTAATTATCTAACTAAAATTGGCTTTTTTTTTTTTGCAATGATTTATCCATTTCTAATTTTTTTTCTAGTAAGTTAAATCCTTTTCCAGAACTGAAGAATTAAAACCCTTTGATTTTTGGTGATCTAACAGAGTTTAGTTTCGGAACAATGACGAGGGTCAGTCGGGATTTTGGTAATACCATGCAAAAGGAAGCAGTTCCAGCTCTGTCAGCTGATGTAATATTTGCTTCGAGTCGTTTTCCCAATTACAAAATTGGGGCAAATAATCAGATTGTGGATATCAAAGACGGTCCTAAATTTTTGTCCATGAAGGAGGTTGTTGCACGTGAGACCGCAATGTTATTGGAGCAGCAGAAACGCCTCTCTGTTCGTGACCTTGCTAGTAAATTCGAGAAGGGGTTAGCGGCTGCTGCTAAGTTGTCTGAAGAGGTTGAATTCATTTATTTATGCATTGCAGGTTTTTTTGATAGATTGCTAAAGACATTTGTTTAAATTGCCTGACATTGATGGACTTATTTAATCCTTATGAAGAATTCAAGGAATTGAAGATAGGTTGTTGGAAACTACTTATACGTTGGTTTGTGTTTAATAAAAGGTTAGCTCAGTTTTGCCAGTTAGTGGCATTAAGATCAGTTGAATAGTAGATTTTGTTTTATGGGTTGTTATCATTGTGTTTATGCATCTTGGAGTATCACTGGATTGAAGAAATAGGTTAGTTCACTGAGTAGTCTGTTCATGTGAGTGATTCTTCTATCTTTCTCTGTTGTTTCTGTTCACAGTTGAGAAGCATCACGACTATTAATTTCTAACCTATACGGATTGTCATGTAAACAAATCATAATCTAGTCATATATTGGATTCAGGCTAGACTCAGAGAGGCAGCTTCGCTGGAGAAACATGTACTTTTGAAGAAGCTTAGGGATGCCCTGGAATCTTTAAAAGGGCGTGTGGCTGGAAGAAACAAGGATGATGTACAGGAAGCTATTTCCATGGTTAGTTAGTGTTCTACCTTGTGCTTCTACCATAGAGTTTGTTACCTATAACTGTGCTATGCTACTCCTATTTATCATGGTTTTGGAAGTTAAATGCTATTTAAAATGTAATCCTAGATTTTACTTTAATAAAACTTTGCTATTAATCTTGGTGCATAGAGAAATAATGTTCATGTTTAAGGATGAGGAGAAAAAGTATGCCGTATCTTTAAGGGCAATGATTATCAATTTGTTGCTTCAGTTGGCAGCATTAGATTCAAGGGTGTTATTATCATTTGTATCAACATTGTTCATACTGTAATTATTGGTAAAGTGTTAGGATAGGAGTTAATTTACCATTAAATATGATATTCTGTATCCATTCCTGCTTTCTAGTTAGGAAGGATTTGGTTGTATAAATAACATGGCAAGTGAATGGTGATATTTTGCTTTCTGCAATAATATTGTAATATTTTGTCTTATCACTATCATTTATGGTAAGGTTAGATATCAAGCTAACTTCCTTCCTGGGAGAAAAGTTCATCTTGTTTGATATGAGCTTTGAGAATATGTCTTTCCCCCACCTTTTGGGTGGAAAAAAATGGATAAAGATAAAAAGGAAAAAAAGGTACTTCAATGCTTGAGATGCTCTCTTTTAGCCCTGGTTACATCTTTTCCCCTTTGCATGGTTCTAGAACCATCTATTTAGATTCTTGGTTAATGTATATGGCCTGCAAACTTTCAAGTGAGGCAATAATGGCCTTTGAATTATGGTTATTTCACCAGGTGGAAGCTCTGGCAGTTCAACTTACTCAAAGAGAAGGAGAGTTGATTCAAGAAAAGGCAGAAGTGAAGAAACTAGCAAATTTCCTTAAGCAGGTAATATAACGTATGATAAATGCTGGATGATATGCCATCCTTTTTTTTTTTTCTGGATTTCATAGTAAGTTTGTTTAGGGATGTATATTCGTAGCATCAATATATCTGAAAATGCTAACAATTAAATGCATTATCCTCTATATATACGTAGGATGCTTTCCTAAGTGTGTTTTTTGGTTAAGAGATAAGTACTAGCTTATATATTATTTTGATTAACGTTTAGAAAATCTAATGTATTGTCATGACAGAGAGAGATCTGTTACAGTGTTTCTCCTCAGCTTTCAGAATTTCATGTTAAATTACCTCTATAGATCAATTTGGCTGAAAAGTGAATGTGTATGACACCACTTGGTTAGTTATTATAGTTTAGTGGAAGAATGCCTTTTTCTTTTCTAAAGTACTAATGTTTTTGGCTGTGGTGATGTAGGTTAAATTATGGTTCTCTGAAGTTACAAATATATATTTTGCACTTGGAGTTTGAGGATATCCTATTGAAATTTTGAACAAGATAATAGTTTAGGAAATGTTGTGCTTGCCTTTTCCATTTAAATAGTGTGCGATTATTTTAGAGAACCTGTTATCGTGGCTATTCTTTATGACACCTGCCATAACTTTAATCTTTTATCTCCTTTTATTGTTTATTTGGTTTGGTTCTGTTCTGATTGCTGTTGTTGTACCATTACTGATACAATAGTGGCAGAATGCTCTGTTTGTTGCCCTCTGATTATACTGGCAAGCTTTTATTTTCCTTGCCCACATTTTCCTAATTATTAAGCCCCAAATAGGCAAGTTATAAAAGGTCATGCTTTCCTAATTCTAAACTGTTTATGCTTCTATATTTTTTGGTTTAAGTTATTCAAATGCAGTTTTAGCTGAGAAATAAAAGCACCTAACAACTATTTTGTTTTCAGAAATGTATTTTGAGAATGAAAGATAGAAAAGAAAACCCAAGATGCCCTGACCCTGAACAACCTTTAATTTTTTTTGTTTTTAAAAGAAGGCTGCTATAATTATTTTGTGGGAGTAATCTAAATACCTAACTAAGCTGGGCCTGGATCCAGAAATTATTTGCTTAATTCCTTTTTTTCTTCTTCGATGCATAGAAGTAGATGTAATAATTCTTCTGTTAGTGCTTTACTTTTGCATATTTGTGTATAGGCTTCTGAAGATGCTAAGAAACTTGTTGATGAAGAAAGAGCTTTTGCTCGTTCTGAAATTGAGAATGCAAGAACAGCAGTTCAGAGGGTGGAAGAGGCCCTTCAGGAACAAGAACAAATGTCTCGAGCTTCAGGCAAACAGGTTTTTGTTTTTTCATTTGTCTTTTCTGGACTTTCAAAGTTTGGTTGTGCGAATTTGCATTGTCAATGATCTACCTGCTAAACATATCTGGCTGTATATTGATTCTCTCTTTCCACGTTGCATTAACTGTGAAAAATATCTATTGCTTAGACATATCTTAATTTTACTATAAATTAATTCAAATTTCGTATTTATACTGTTCTCTTGTCAGTTTCTCATGTTCATCATAACAGTTTCTACTTTGTGTGATTTTATTGTAGCAATTTTGTCTTTTCCTTAGAGGACAAATATTTCACATGGATTTCAGGACCCGGAAGAATTAATGAAGGAGGTTCAAGAGGCTAGACGGATCAAAATGCTGCACCAACCAAGCAAGGTTAATCTCAGATCTGTGACTGATTCTTTTTTCATAAGTATTCAAAAAGATTCTTTTGAATTATTTTTAGTCATTTATGGGTTTATCTCTTGCTTCTGTCTCTATTATTTTATCCATGAAAATTGTTTTATTTTTGTGCATGATGCTAGTTGTATGTGGCTGTTGTAGAAATTCATAATCTTTTAGTCCTATAAACTCATAATCTTATATGAAGTGCATGGACAACATTGTATTTGGAGTACTTTCACCATATTTCTTGAGGCCACAATGGCTTGCTGGGGTTGATGGGATTTCTTGTTTAATTCCTGTTTCCTAGCCCTAATCATTTGAGGTATATTAATGGTTTTAAGTCTGTTAAGCCTATTTTTGGATTCAGTTAAGGGACAAAAATCTATCTGTAAAGACTAAAATAAAATAAAATAAATTATAGGTAAAAAAGCAATAAATATAAGAGGCTGTTTGTTACCATGTGCATGGTTTATGCATGTATCTTTTAAATATAATTTAAATCTAGGCCTTGTCTGGGCTAAGGTAAAGTACTTATTATTTGAGTTTTTGTTGCTTCTGCTGTTGCCTTTTTTAGATAGGATTACCAAAAAGCAAGTCTTAATGTGATCATGATCCTTTCTTGCTCTTTAAGTGAAGACAAAAGAAAAAGGAAATGGAATTGTGTGATGAACTCCAGTCTTCTCAAGAAAATGACAAAGCAAGCCAAGTTTTAAAAATATTATTACCAAAAAGCAAGTCTTATTATTGCCATGGCCCCACTTCCTCTGCACCAAACAAAAAAATTAGAAGAAAAAGAAAATGGACTTGATAGTGATGAATATTGTTCATCAGAACATGAAAATCACTTATAGACGATCCACTTGGGCATTTCTTTTGTGGCATTCTGAGGTAACAATGGAGTGGGATGCATAGTGATAAATGATGCAATTTGACTTGTTTATGTATATTGAAGTCTAATTGAGCAGATTCTCAGGTTAACCTTTGTGTCTACATTGATAAGAGAATTATTGTTTAAATTTTTTTTGTCTTTAAGTTTTCTGTTTGGTCTCTAGCATAGAGTTTTCTAATTTAATGATGGATTGTCTTTGGCTACAAAATAAATCAAGCTATGGATGAGCTTTTGTAATATTGAGGTTGTTTGCTCAAAAAGCAAATCATAGCAAGTCTGTATATTAATATATGTAGAAGCATCCTTTAGAATTTGTATGCTTTGCTGCGTTACAGTTCAAATTCTGCAAGATGTCTCATTTCCATCCATTTTTAGTTGAAACAGTGGATGAGTTCAACCAATATCAAATTTTGCAGGTTATGGATATGCAACATGAGCTTCGAGCATTAAGGATTCAACTTGCAGAGAAGTCTAAGCATTCCCTACTGCTTCAAAAAGAGGTTTGCCTTTTGTTCTGTAGATTTAGTTAATCAGTTTCTTTCAGCCATTCTAGTAGTCGAATGAATGTTCATAGATTTCTAGCTTGTTCTTTGATCTTCCAAGATTTGTTCTTTTAGGCACAATGTTGGGCCACAAATTTTACATTTCTTTTTCACTTTCCTTTCCATTTAGCATATTGGTATTTACTTTATTGTAGGACATTGTTTGGAACTGAAAAATTAGCTAAGTCTATGCATCTTTTGGATAATGCTTTGATCTTTAGTTCTTCCGGTTTCAGCATATTAAGGCTGAGGGCCTCATATGTTTCAGTGAGAAAAAAATGGATAAAACCGAAAACCGATTTGAAACTGTAGTGTTCGGTTCGGATTGGTTTTTTTCTTATTCAATTCGGATTAAGTTCGGATATTAAAAGTATATATTAGGATTGGATTGGATTTCGGATCGAGAAATGAAAAACAAAAAAAAAAGGGGAACCGAATTGTATTTTTTTTAGCTTTTATATATATTTTAAATAAAACGAAAAATCGAACTGAATCTAATCCGATCTGTACCGTTATCACTTCATTTCTTATGCATTTTTCAAATCTTTCAACCAATTTGGATGTGTTTGTCATAGGCAAGAGCTGCAATAATGATGGGTAGGAAATTCATTTTGTTTTATCCTTAAAAATGATCTGTACGAGTTTAGATGATTCAGTTTAATGGTATATTGTGGTATTGTTTATTTGAGAATTTTTGCTAATCGCTAAAGTATTGCGTACTAGCAGGTTGATCTTTCTTATGCTTAGAATTTTTAAGACACTTAATCACGTGATAACTGACAATTTGGCAAGTCATGCTAGACAGTGTAATTATCATGTTGAAATTTCACTCATTATCTGGTTAACTGTCTAACCAGGGAAACGAACATCCATGGATGGAAAATTTTGAATACTAATTAGTCCATAAAGAAAGCATAAGCATAGGAAATAATAATTTGAATTCTACAAGGATTTGAGATCCAAGATAGAGAACTATAAAATTGACTCTCAACAACTCCTGAACTATATAAATAAAAGCTGTAGAACATTAGAAAAAAGCTAATATAAGAGTGGTAGACTCAAATCTAGCTATTTGCAGCACCTCTGGAAATTACCATGATAACCATGACTCTTAATATTTGGAAAACCCCACAATAAATGAAATGCAAAATCTTCTATTCTAAAGAATAAAAAATAAGACTTAATAGTACACTATCTACAGCTTAACCCTAAATTAGTTCAACATCAAAGACTAAAATTTCAAGATTTCTTGATATTTAATTTTCTTTCTGAATCTTGTCTAATCGATTTCAAAATGCCATACACATGATCTTATGGTTTCTTGCTATCCAAATAAAATTCATTCCTAATAGATTTTTTCCCAGAATTGTTTATCAGCTCCTAGTATTTTAGTTATTCCATTTGAAATAAAGAAGCAGAAATAGTGGATAATTAGTATCATTTTGTTTGCTAGTTTGCAGTGGTATATTGGTATTCTTTGTGAAGGATTTTCAATTAACTTCTCTGATACATTCATTTTCTAATTTCTCATATGCATTTGTCTGGAGTAGAGTGTTGCATATGATCGATATATTCTTTTCCTTTGATCATTGACTACTTTAACCTTTTGCTTTCCTTAACCCTTTTTTAACAGCTAGCAAAAAGCAAGAGAGTTGAGGGAAATTTATCTCATTTATATGAATTGGATGGTGCTGAAACTTTAGGTTCTTATTTGCGGATTAAACCTTGCTCTGATATTGCTCCAGAACTTTCAAAATGTCCAATTCAATGGTATCGTATTATGTCTGAAGGTAGCAAAAAGGAGCTTATATCGGGTAAGATAGCCATTGATGCTTTTCTCTTTATGTTTAAGAATATTGAACAGGTGGTGGCTGACGCATGGGAAACTGATTTTCTTGATGAAAGAAAAATATTAATGTCATAACACGTTTTAGTGTCTTCTTCTATGTTGCTCCAACCTTTTATTTTCCTTGAAGTACCTGTGTCCGGAACATATTCTATGGACATATGTAAGCAGTTCCGACCCTCCAAATATATGGAAAAACTTAGAAAAATTGCACTTACCAGTGTCGTACACATAACCATATCCAATACTCACCCCGAGTCCGACTAACATAGGTCTTCATTTCCTTTCTTATGCCTATTCTTGTTAGTAAATATGTTTAAATCTTGTTCCCCATTATGCAGTATTTAGTTATGTTGTCAGCGAATCATTGTCTTAACACTTGCTGTTCCTTAAAGCTGAATGTGGAAACTGAATGTATATTGAAAAACTGCTTATTTTGAATTATACAATAATCTTAGGTTTATATACAACTAACTAGGGGTTAAACTAGGAAACTAAATCTTCCTTAATTCTAGGGATACAAATACTTAATTCTAGAGATACAAATATAAATATACAGATTACAAGATTACAACCAGCTGTAAATAAGTGTTTTCCCACACTCCCCCTCAAGCTGGTGAATAGGTGTTTTCCATTCCCAGCTTGGAAATAATTCTTTGAAATGTTGCACTGCTAAGACCTTTAGTCAACACATTTGCAAGTTGACCATTGGTTGATACATAAGGTGTACAAATCAACCCACTGTCTAGTTTCTCCTTTATGAAATACCGGTCTACTTCAATGTGTTTTGTTCTGTCATGTTGTACAGGATTGTGTGCAATGCTTATTGCAGACTTGTTATCACAGTAGAGTCTCATTGGTCCATCCCACTTGATCTTCAAGTCTTCTAAGATAATCTTTAACCATAGTAGTTCACAAATTCCTTGAGCCATTGCTCTGAACTCTGCTTCAGCACTTGATCTTGCCACCACATTCTGTTTTTTACTCCTCCAAGTCACAAGATTACCACCTAAGAAAGTACAGTAGCTTGAGGTGGATCTTCTATCAGTTACTGAACCTGCATAATCAACATCTGTATATGCTTTTAGAACTAACCCCGAATTTCTTTTGAATAAGATACCTCTCCCAGGATTGGCCTTCAAATAGTGCAATATACGGTAGACAGCCTGTAGGTGCACTTCTTTAGGACTATGCATAAATTGACTTACCACACTCACAGCATATGCTATATCAGGTCTAGTATGTGAGAGATAAATGAGTCTTCCAACTAATCTTTGGTACATCTCTCTATTTACAGCAGCATCTTCATTAGCTTCTCCAATTTTATGATTAGGATCTATAGGGGTATTTGCAGGTTTACATGCAAGCTTCCCAGTTTCCTTCAGAAGATCCATCACATATTTCTGTTGTGAGATAAAAATACCATGCCGTGAGTGAGCTACTTCAATCTCCCTAGCTCTTTTATCTCAAATTCTCTAGCTAAACACTGTTTTAGAGATTCTCTCTCTTTTTCATCATCACCAGTTACAATTATATCATCAACATACACTAATAGAACTGTGACTTTCCCTGAATCAGAGTGCTTGATAAACAATATGTGATCTCCTTGACTCTGTTTATATCCTATTGCTAGCATCACTTTGACAAATCTCCCGAACCAAGCTCTAGGAGACTGTTTAAGGCCATATAAAGCCTTTTTTAGCCTGCATACTTTGTTTGCTTCTAGATGACCTCCAAATCCCGGTGGAACCTTCATATATATTTCTTCTTTCAAATCACCATGTAAAAAAGCATTCTTTACATCAAATTGTTGAAGCTGCCAATTGTAATTTGCAGCCAATGATAACAAAATCCTAACTGTATTCATCTTGGCAACTGGAGCAAAGGTTTCCTGGTAATCTACTCCATAGGTTTGAGTGTAGCCTTTAGCCACTAACCTAGCTTTATAACTTTCAATAGTACCATCTGCCTTGTATTTTACAGTGAAAACCCATTTACACCCCACTGAATTTTTTCCTTTAGGCAACTCTATCAATTCCCATGTCTGATTTTTCTCTAAGGCCTCCATTTCTATTTTCATGGCTTGCCTCCATTTCTCATTGGATAATGCCTCGGATAATGTAATCGGAACAGAAATAGTGTTTAGGCTCACAAGAAAATTTTTGTAGGATGGTGAGAATTTTTCAAATGACACAAAATTAGATATTGGGTATAGTGGATGCTTGGTACATTCTCTGGTTCCTTTCCTAATGGCAATAGGCAAATCATAATCACTAGTTATAGTTTTATGAGATTCATGCTCATTTTGAGAAACAGAGTAAAAAACTGTAGTTACCTCATTTCCAGAGTTAGGATCAGGTTCTTGGACTGGCAGTGGTCCAGGATCTGGAACTTTCCTTCTTGAGTACACCTGTAATTCCTTCATAGAATCAAGAACAATATTATCCTTTGTCACATCTTCCGTATTTGGAATGGGTTCAGACTCAAATTCAGTGTTTGACTTGGGCTCAGTAGAAACAGGTTTCGACTCAGAAGAATTAATGGGTGTAAATGTTGAAGAAGGGGGCAAATCAAGCAAAAAGAAGTCTTTATCCTTATCTTCCATGAATGAAGTCTCCCCTGAAGATAAGGTTGAGTAAAAAATGGTTTATTTTCTTCAAAAGTGACATCTGCAGACACAAAATTTTTGGTAGGAGGATGATAGCACTTATATCCTTTTTGAGTTGAAGAATACCCCACAAAAATACACTTAATCGCTCTTGGATCCAACTTTCCCTTGTTATGACTGTGAACATGAATAAATGATGTACAACCAAATATCCTAGGTGTGAGATTGTTTGTGGTATTGAGGTTGGGATAAAATTGTGAGAGTAATTCCATAGGAGTTTTAAATCCCAAAACTCTTGAAGGTAACCTATTTATAATGTGTGTGGCAGTGAGAACAGCTTCCCCCCAATAAGATTTTGGTACATTTGCTTTAAAAAGAAAGGCTCAGGTTGTGGCTAGTAAATGATTGTTTTTCCTCTCTGCCACTCCATTCTGCTGTGGAGTATTAACACAAGATGACTCATGGATAATCCCCTCTTTTTGGACATAGGTGGATAGACTCTGGTTGAAGTAGTCTCTTGTATTATCAGACCTAAATCTCTTGATTCTCACTCCAAATTGATTTTAGATCATGTTTTGGAAGCTTAAAAACACTATTCACATCTGATTTGGATTTAAGTAAAAAGACCCAAGAGACCCTAGTACAATCATTTATGAATGAAACAAACCATCTCGCACCAGAAATATTAGGAATTGTAGAGGGACCCTAAATGTCACTATGAATCAAGTAAAAGGGAGTAGAACTTTTTTTGTTACTGATTGGAAAAGACACACGTCTATGTTTTGCAAATTCACAAATATCACAATGAAAATCTTCAACATTTAATCCTTTGAACAAAGAAGGAAACATGTTTCTCAAGGTTCCAAAAGAAGGATGTCCAAGACGAAAATGATAAAGCCAAATTTTGTCTTTATTGAAAGATTTTTCAGAAAGAATGACAAAGGTAAACTATTTTTGATACTACTTGTGTTATTTGATGTCTCAAGATAGTGTAGTCCATCCTTCTCCTTAGCAAGTCCAATCATCTTCCCCGAACTTTGGTCCTGAAATTCACAATAAGAGGGATAAAAAGTTACTTTGCAATTCATATCTCTGGTAAGTTTTTGTATAGATATCAGATTAATAGACAATCCAGGAACATGGAGAACATTTTTGAGAACAAACGAGGGATTAACTTGAACATCTCTTAATCCTGTCACTGTAGTAAGTGAACCATCGGCAACAACAATTTTCTTATTACTAGGACAAAGGTTATATGTACTAAACTTTTGTGAGGAATGTGTCATGTGGTCTGTGGCTCCTGAGTCAATGACCTAAGAACTCGTAATAGGTTTAGCCGAGACATTTAATCCATGAGAATCGGAAGCTTTACCTGAACTAGAAACTTTACCCAAAGAACATACCATAGTAGGCTTTTCGAGGATTTTCAATAAGTTTCTCAGCTCTGATACCATGTGGAAACTGAATGTATATTGAAAAACTGCTTATTTTGAATTATACAAGACTCTTAGGTTTATATACAATTAACTAGGGGTTAAACTAGGAAACTAAATCTTCCTTAATTCTAGGGATACAAATACTTAATTCTAGAGATACAAATATAAATATACAGATTACAAGATTACAACCAGCTGTAAATAAATATTTTCCCACACTGAACATCATTGTGGCTGTTAATTAAAGTTGATTTATTTTTTGGTGATTTATTTAATTAAAGTTGGAGGTTAAGCATGCAAAGTAGTATTGCCCATGTTCAAGTATTCCATTAGGCATTAATTGGTCTGAAATGCAAATATTATCAAGTGGGATAGCATGTTATTTTATGATATATTAAAAATTTTAATAGCTTGTCATATTCAAGTCAATAAAATTGGTCTCCCTAATGCAGTTGATTAAATTTCCTATAACTTTCAAAATTATGTGTACATTCTCTATTAAGCCCATGCATTCTATGATAATTACCATAAACACAATTTGATTTATGTTCTTTTTCCATTAGCAAGGAATAGAGGTACAGCTATTTTGAAATTTAATCTTTTTTTAAATAAAACAGAAGTTAGCTTTTCACTTTTCCATCTTTCTTTCCAAGCATGCTATGGAAAGAAAAATAATATATTTTTCCATCTTTTTACTTTTCTCTCCCTCTAATTTTCTGTCTTTCCATTTTTCTATCCACTCTACGAAGCAAAGCCTTTGGGATCTGATTTTGTTGGTCTACCTTGCTTTTTTATCAGGTGCTAGCAAATCAGTTTATGCTCCAGAGCCTTTTGATGTTGGTCGAATCCTGCAGGCTGAGATTGTTTATGATGGCCAGCTGATCATATTGACAACTAATGGTGCTATTGATCCAGGTTTGCTATGCTGCGTGTTTTTTTTGCCTACATTTTTTTTTTTTTTACTTAAGAAGTTTTGAAATTTCTATTTCTCATTACTTAATGAAATCTACAACCTTTTTTTTTTCCTTTGTTTGAGAAAACAGCTGCTGGTTTGGGAAACTATGTGGAGGCACTTGTGCGGAAACATGATGTTGAATTCAATGTATGTTGTCCTACTTCCAAAAGTTCTCCTATATATGGCTAAATGAATAGTATTTGCCTTTATGTGGTTTGGGTACTTCAATTAGGGTTTTGTCATTGAGTCTTTCTATATTGATTTATTTAGTTGCTGTTTTATATTTGGTAAAGTTTTAAAAGAATTTTTTTATGCTTAGCAGATAATAATAAGAGTTTCCACTTTGAAGTGACTTTTCTTTGCAACTAAGGTGTGATGCAATTACTATCTCATGAGCAGTGGTTGCCTAGGGAAATGATCTCTCCTCTGCTTATTTTCTTTTGCCAGATATCACTTTGTTCTTCGAATAGTTTCTCCTGTTGCTGCAGCACATTAGAGCATTGGAGATTTAAACATTTTCCCTTACTTTGTAGAATTTTAAACCCTGAATAATCCCTCTGAGCTTCAAGCTTTAAAATTGTAGAAAAATAATGTTGAATTTATAGTTCCTGCATCAGGCACAACTTCCTCTCTGGAGTCGGTTATTCTCTGATCCCAATTTCTGTTGCTTACCAATAAACTTGACCTTGCTTGTGATTGACCCTGCTGCTCCTCATTGACTAAATAGGCTCTATAATCTTGCTAGCACTCATTTGATCTGTGCCTGGCACATTCTGGTTTTGGTCCGAAAATACCATGCTGAAAAGGTTTTAATTCTTTGCACATGTTTAATTGACTTATTTTCATCTCATCAAATTTTCACTGGTTTGAGGTGCAGTGGATGCATGAGAATATTGTATGTGCTTGAAAATGTAACTATTTATTTATTTATTTGTTTTGGCTTCTAATTTATGTTCACTTTATAGGTTGTTTGCTGAATGAATGGATAGCAAAAATGGTTCTCATATCTTCTGTAAAGATTTTAACTACTTATTTCCTTATTTTGGCTTCTTATATTATAGTATTACCGTTTCATTATTTTATAGGTAGTTGTCACCCAGATGAATGGTGCAGATCATCCATCAGAATCTATTCATGTACTACACGTGGGGAAGATGAGGATGAAGCTTTGTAAAGGAAAGAGGATAATTGCCAAAGAATATTATTCCACCTCAATGCAGGTATCAGGGATTGTAAATTTTCTCATTAATGAAAGTTGCTTTGGTGTTTTCTACTGGTAAAGGGGAAGAAAGAGGAATTTTGGTGTTCTGCATATATTCTACACAGTTTCCTTTATGGCTTTTCTTTTGGCTGTCGTTATTTAGAAGCAATTTTACATACAAGGTGTGGTAAGAAGGTAATGGAAAAGAGCCATAGAACAAGAATCCCATCCAAACATGTGGATAATGCACTCTCATACTTCTAAGAACCACACCGCCGTATAAATGATTAACAAATTAATATTAAACATGATATTTCTGATATTCATATCTGATGTGTGTACTATGTTAAAAAAATAGGTTGTTTCTTACACTTTGTGCTTATGCTTCAGCTTTGTGGAGTTAGAGGGGGTGGAAATGCAGCCGCCCAGGCATTGTTTTGGCAAGCAAAGAAAGGTCTTTCAGTTGTATTAGCATTTGAATCAGAGAGAGATAGAAATGGAGCCATTATGCTTGCCAGGAGATTTGCATTTGACTGCAATGTAAGTGGTTGTCCAAATTCTGCTTGTGTACACCCAATGTGTATGAACTTAAACCTACTAATTTTGTCCTTTTCTTTCACTGTTTTCCCCCAGCTAAATGATTTTTATTTTTGGCTAATGCCAGATCATGCTCGCCGGCCCAGATGACAGAGCTTCTTTAGGAACCTAACAGATCTCCTTAGGATTATGTTTTGCTAATTGCAATTATTTTGAGTTTTTGTTATGTATCATAAGTTTGTAATGCTAGGACATGACATACATTGTTTGATTCTGTTTTGGGTTCCACCATTCTTTTTTCCCCCTTCCATTCTCCTGTCCCAACACCAAGGTATTGGTTTTTGTTTGCCTTTAATTTTTAAGACTTACATTTGGAGGATATCTGGAGTTCTCTATATTTGTTGAACGGGCTATGCACTATGACAGATTCGTGAATGATTTGCCATTCATGTCACTCTCATGGATTGAATGCTGAGAGGCACCGTTTGTAGACATGCCTTTGATAATGGACTATGCACTTTGAAAAAAGCACGCCACATTTCTGTTAGGCACCGTTTTTTCAAATGAAAGTGAACTTTGTTATTTATTTTTTTTAATTTATGAATTTTGGAATATTATTTGTGATTATTTGATAAATTTAATAAATAAACAGAAATTGAGTTTATTCACAAAAGCCTTATTTGTTTACACTTTGAGTGTAACTTAATCAAATATAAATATATTTTACTATTTTTTTAGTCTATTCATTTAACTAATAAATTTAAAAATATTATTTGTAATTATTTGTTAATTTTAATAAATTAATTAATATTAAATCTACTCACAAATTATTCATTGAATAGTGTAGTTGTTTACTTCATTTTTCTGTTTAGCATTGTATTTTCATGTGCTTGCACGTTTCAACCAAAGCTCATTTACAAGCTCGGAAATAAGTTCAAAGATTTGCTCAACCAAAGTTCAAGCTTAAAAAGGAAAAATCATATGGATAATGCAGAAACGTCAGAGATCATATATATATATATATATATATATATATTTTGTTAAGTGTATGGTGCTCTCGGGTAGGCTTCATCAAATTATTTTTTGGGTAATAGTAACGAAACTTTATTTTGATGTTTTTCTCGTCTGGCAGTGGATGGATGAAATGTGGCAATTGATTTGATTTTTTCCTGCAGATGCTAACGTCCACCCATCGGGGACCTCATTGAGGATGTTTACTTTTGAATGAGCTAGTCATAGCATATTCATGACTAGAATTTCTCAACGTTGCAGAGGAAAAAAATTCCAGAGCAAGAAATTTGGGTATCCTTTTCCATTTTGTGTTTCACTATAGGTAAAAAGGCAAATATTGAACTTATCCTTAATTTAGTTAATCCAATTTTAAAAAATAATATTCAATATCTCTGATATTTAAATTCTAATCTCAATAAATTTTTTCTCTAGATCCTTTATATAAAAAAAAGACGAACATTGTTTCTGTGAAATTATTAATTCCAAGAGCATGACAGTCCAAGAATATTAATCTTCTTAAGACATGGATGAGTCTAGGCGATCATCCCAGCCAAATTTTATCATACAAAAGCTTAAAGGGACATGGCTTTGATGTTATTCCAATTGGCGGAAGAAGTCATAGATGTGATTGTTAATCTCATCTGCTTTTTCCATGTTGATGAAGTGCCCAACTCCTTCCATTACAACTACTTCCTGCAAAAGTGGTACAGCTTTCTTGAACCCACCATTGTGAATAAATTCCTTAAGGCCAGGGATATGATAAACCAGGTCTCGATCACCTACAATGAACTTAACTGGTGTTTTGATTTCACAACCACTCCAAGGTGCCAAGAGTTCCCAGTTTCTGTCATAAAAACAAATAGAGAAAACAGAATTTATAAAGTAGCACTAAAACATGAATAAAAGTGTCATTAGTTGTTGGAAAGAATTGAAACAAACCGGTCAACGTTTCGGTAATAGTTGATTCCACCGGTAAAGCCTTTCTTGTCAAATTTAGTGACATAGTAGTTAACTTCTTCCTCTGATAACCAAGAAGGCAACGTAATTGGGGTATCTGCTGAATGTTCGAAGAGTTTGCCTTTGGTTAACATAATTGGACCTGGAACTCGGTATGTTAGGAATTCCTTGACAACTCTGTGCGTACCAATCTCAGCAAATTCAGCCTCTATTTCTCCAGGTTCCTGCCATGTGAAGGATAGTATATGCCACGGTTTATACTAATTTGTAAGATAGTATTTATTTTAATTCCGTCATGGTTAATAATTATATCTTAAATCAAATTTTAATACATAACCGATATAAAATTTATGATTTCTGACCACAACAATATGAGTTTAATTGAGGTCTACAAAGTGATCATAACATTGTCCAAGTCTATGGACATAGCTAGCAAAAATATAGCCACACTTGACCAACCAAAATTAACCCATTTATAGATTCTTGAGGATATAACTAAAATGGGTAAATTGAGGATATACCATTCACCTTCACCATTTTGTGTTCTATCCCTTCCATTTTCTTAGCTTTCAGCCTCTCAACTCAACAACTTTTCTTTCTCGTCTTTGTTTGTCACCGTAACGTCTTTTTTATGGCACTGTCCTTTTGAAGATTCTTTGGTTGTCCGCTGTGCTAAATGTCATGGCTAACAAGAGTGTTAAATTGTCTGCATTAGACTTGTCTGTTTCTTGAGCGACCGTGTGATTGTGCCCGAAAACTCTATGAGCTACAATAATAATAAAATTAGTACTAATTTATTAGTCTAAAGTCTTTACTAAATTTATTTATTCATTGCGTAATAGACCAAATTAATATATACAAGATGGATAGATAATATTTGGAAAGAATATAAATGGAGCCTGGATCCATGGACAATATTACAGCCATGTTATCTGATATCGTCTAATAATTGGGGGTAAAAACAATAAAAATGAAAATTCCAATGCTCCTGTTGTTCGTTTCCCTCTTGGAAGTGGACAGATAAGGAAGAAAATGAAAATCTGGAAATACCTTTCAGGCTTGACCTTGTAACTTAGTTTAGTTTAGTTAATTGTCGTTCTTAAGAGGCAGACATTTGGATCTGTTCAAATTTTAGTACTTCTGAGACTATTATCTCCTGGTTGCTATTTTACCAAAAAAATAAAAAACCCAGCGATGATCATCAATGTTTAATTGTTGTTATCTTATAAATATTAAATATCAGTTTTATTGTGATTTTATATTTAAGTTGAATCATTTCATTTATTTATTACTCATTGATTTTTTGTTGGTAGTTAATATGATATTAAAATTCAAGTTCTATTATGTTTTTCTGTTACGTTATTTTTTTCAAATTTATCATTTCTGTTAAAATAGTAATATTCTATTTCTGTTTGGTACATGGGAATTTGTAGGAAAATCTCCCAATTGTTCTTCTTCCTCTTCCAACTTTGGGCAAATGAGATTAGGAACTGAGATTTAGCTTTTAACAGAAGCTCCAACTCTCGACCTGCATCCGTCTCTTTCAATGTCTATCAGAACCGAACTTGATATTGATCTTGATTTTGGGAAGATGCAAAACAGACAATGACGTAGCTTTCTTCTTTTTTTTTTTTTTTTTCCTCTTGTTTTTTCTCAATTTTTTACCAGAAAGAGGGAAAATATTTTTATAGAATTTCGCCCTTATTTTCCTCAATAAATTTTTCCTTCAACTTTTTCACTCTCACCTAACAGTTAAAAAATAAAATCCATGGATTCCATTTTTCCCTCAAATTTTCCACCAAACATAGCCCATCGTCATCCATTTAAGATAATTGAGATATTCTGTGAATTAGACTGGACTTGATACTTAAACATCTCTATTTTTAACTACCTCAATTAGTTAATTATTTTGACATGTTATGATCCATGACCATAAGTTATGAACATCAGCTGGACCTTTTACTTGATGCACTGCTATTCCTATGTTGTAATGCTGATTATCATAGCTAATGAAATTTTACAGGGAAAAGAAATTCCACTTCTAGCTTGTGTTCTTTTGAATTTTCGTTTTCATCCATAGATAAAAGGCAATATCTATTTGTCAAACAATTCCAAAAGCATGACAGTCTAAGACTATTACACAAAGGCTGGTTGAACATCATGGATCCTAGCCAAATTTATTACACGAAGGCTGACATACATAGAGCAGGGAAGGACTTGAAATATCAAACAAACTGGCGGAAGAAATCATAAATGTGATTGTTTATGTCGTCTGCTTTTTCCATGTTGATGAAGTGCCCAACTCCTTCCATTACCACTACTTCCTGCAAAAGTGGCACATCTTTCTTGAACCCACCACTGTGAATGTATTCCTTGATACCAGGCATATGATAAACCAGGTCCTGATCCCCCACAATAAACTTAGCTGATACTTTGATCTCACAACCAGCCCATGGTGCCAAGAGTTCCCAATTTCTGTCAAAAACCAAACAGAAATATAAGGAACTTGAGATGCTGCATAAATTGTTGGTACATGATTATTTGTATATTCGTATTGTATTCGTATTGTATCAAATATATGTAAAATATAAAAAATTATCGTATTAAATTTGTATCGATAAATCAAACAAAAAATATATATTTTTTTACTTTCATCAAAATCATATACAATTTTTATTAAAATGGTAAATGATAACGTTTCCGTGTTACTTTATAGTGTTTAGAATTATCTACATTATAGTGTTTAGAATTATCTAGATTAAGGTTGGAAAAAGAATTGAAACATATACCTGTCCGAGTTTCGGTAATAGTTGATTCCACCAGTGAAACCGCCATTCTTGTCAAATTTAGCGACATAGTAGTCAACTTCTTCCTCCGACAACCAAGAAGGTAATTTGATTGGGGTATCTGCTGAATGTCCGAATAGTTTGCCTTTGGTTAACAAAATTGGACCCGGAACCCTGTATGTTAGGAACTCCTTGACAACTCTTTCTGTACCAATCTCTGAAAATTCTGCTTCTATTTCTCCAGGTTCCTGTTAATATATATCAAAGAGGATTAATCTCAGTTCTGATTATGATCCTTACTGATCTATAAAAAGTTGCCAAATCTAGTGGAACAACAAATTGAATAAACCAATAGCAAAAAGTAAAGCCTTCTTGGAACCTATAAAATATTTTGAACAGACAATAGAAAAGTGTGGCACAAAAACCTGAAATCTGCAGATGTAATAATCATTCCCATAGAAAGCTCTCCAGCCATCAATGGGTCTAACTTGTCGAGTAAATGGAAGGAATGGCACACTCAAATTCAACAAAGCTTTCACTTTCTCTGGCCTAAACAAACACAAATACCAAGCCATGTAAGCGCCCAAGTCATGTCCTACTACGAAAACCTTCTCCTGGTCCGGAGCAACAACATCCAAGAGCTCAACCAAATCCCCCAGTATATGGAAGCACGTGTAACTGGTGACTGGATGTGGGGCATCCGTGTCACCGAAGCCCCTCAGGTCAGGGGCCACAGCTCGGTAGCCCAGGGAAGACAAAGCAATGATCTGGTGACGCCAAGAGTACCATAGCTCGGGGAAGCCATGGAGGAAAAGAATCACAGGGCCTTTCCCTTTTTCTGCCACATGCATGTTTATACCATTCACCTTCACTATTTTGTGTTCTATCCCTTCCATTTTCTTAGCTTTCAGCCTCTCAACTCAACAACTTTTCTTTCTCGTCTTTGTTTGTCACCCTAACTTCTTTTTTTAGCACTATCCTTTTTAAGATTCTTGGGTTGTCCGCTGTGCTAAATGTCGTGGCTAACAAGAGTGTTAAATTGTCTGCATTAGACTCGTCTGTTTCTTGAGCGAGCATGTGATTGTGCCGAAAACTCTACGAGCTAGAACAATAATAAAATTAGTAGTAATTTATTAGGCTAAGTCTTATAGACCGAATTAATGATACAAGATGTACAGAGAAATATTCGGAATGAATATAAATGGAGCCCTGGAGCCATGGACAATATTACAGCCAGGTTATCTGGTATCGTATAATAAAAAGGAAGCTCCAATTTTCCTGTCGTTGTTTCCCTCTTGGAAGTGGACAGTTAAGGAAGAAAATGAAAATCTGGAAAAAAATTTTAATACTTTCAACCCTTTTTTTTATTCTAAAGCTGTTACCTCCTTTGTTGCTATTTTACGTTCATCATTAAAATGCTCGTTGGAAAAAAAAAAAAAAAACCCAGTGATGATCATCAATGTTAAATTGCTATTATTTTATATTTATTAAATATTAAATTTATTTTGATCTTATGTTTAAGTTACGTCATTTCACTTATTATTAATTATTTTTGGGTTGATTCTTAATATGATACTAAGTTTTATTATGTTTTTCTGTTTTATTACTTTTATCTATTATCTTTTTTAAACTTATCATTTAATGTCATTGTATTTTTGTTAAATATAAAAATTTTTATAATTTTATTTTCAAATTAAATATTTTATCTACTATTAATTAATTTTAAAATATATATTTAATAATCTGGTTGACTTTTCAGAGTACTTCGTTCAATTGGGAACCCAATGGGAATGCAAAACGAGGGAAATCACAAGAATAAAATAAAGCAACCACTCCTCTGCATTTTATATATAATATATATTACATAGTTTTTTTAATTATTAATTTTAATATATTTAAGAAATAAAAAATAAGTAAAAAATATTTATTTTTTTAAAAATTTATTAAAATCAATCATTAAAAAGTATAAAATTTTTTAATTTTATACTACTTATGCTTATAGCTAAGCTTTTATATATTTGAAAGACTACTGCCGCTAACAATACTGAAAAATCTCTGCTCCAAATCATTTGAAAAGAAGATAATATAATTTAATTGATGAATATTGGAACTGAACGGCCTCTTTCATTAGCGGCTCAAGAGTCAACATGTCTTATCAATTTTTTTTATGCGTATAGATATAAAAAAGAGAGGAAAAAGAAAGGTTTCTTTCTTGCAAACCTCTATCTTGTCTTCCATATCCGGTACTTCTATAAAATTAGCCGATCATGTTGATAAAATATTAAAATTTTAATTTTAGTTATCAAAAATTAAATTTTGATGGCTCAAATCTGAAAAAAAAAATTTATAAATAAAAATTCCACATCAATTAAATTTAAGATATCTTGCATATATCTATACATATAATTAAACGTTAGTAATTGATGATACTTGGCAAATCGACTTTCTAATTGATTAATTCACAAGACCTTGTTTGGTTCCTGGGAATTTTTAGGAAAATCTTCCCATTGTTCTTCTTCCTTTTTCAACTATGGGCAAATGAGTTTAAGAACTGAGATTTAGCTTTTCATAGAAGTGTTGGGTTTGAAGTAATAAATATAACAATGCAGAAATAATATATTACAATAAATCTATAATAACAAACAATAATAAATAATCAACAACATAAAAAAAATAAAGCACACTAAATTCTACGTGAAAAATCTTTCAGTGTAGAGAAAAAAAATTATTGACCACAAAAAAAATCTCTACTATAAAATAATGGATATACAAAATTTTTTTCTAACTAAAACTAAAGCTAATTAATAACTAGAGGGACAATTGAAGAATCTTACCAAATAAATGACTCAATAAATACACCATGAATTTGTTTCTAAAGAGCTTCAAACCCAATCTTCACCTCTTAAAATGTAAAACTCTGAATCATAAATCTACTAATAAAATTTCAATTCAATTGGATCATGGATCGACTTTCGTTTAACTAACTCTCCATTTTCTTTCTATTTTTCCTAGCTTTTTTTCTTTCTCTTAGTTTCGGTGCCACCACCTTCTGTTTCTTTATTACATAGCCCCATTTTATTGTTTAAGGTTTTATACAAGTAGAGTTCTCTTAGGTTAAAGACAAAAAAAAAAAAAACTTTAGGCCCTTTAATTAGCCAAAACCAACGGGGTTAGACTCCACTATTCCTAACAATCTCCTTCTCCAGCCCCATTAGGAGGAGATTCATCCCCATAACAGTTTCATTTGGAACTTACCTTGACTAAAGAAGCCATTTCGACGAAGTTACTGCAAAGCTCAAACTTTTTTTTGAAAAGTATCTTAGTCAATATATCTGTTACATTCTTATAAATATGAACTTTTTTTAACAGTATATGATGTTCCTCAATCACTGAACTTAACCAATGATATCTAATATCAATGTGCTTTATTTTAGCATAGTACATGATATTTTTACTTAAATCTAAAGTACTATGACTATTACAAAACATCACATACTCTTTTTAATTCACCCCAATTCAAGAATCCAAAGCATTTTTTTATCTCCTTCAGTTGCTACAATATACTCAACCTCTGTAGTTGACAAGGTAACATACTTTTATAACTTAGACTATCAAGAAATAGCTTCTCCTACAAAAGTGAATAAATATCCTGAAGTAGATTTCCTACCATCAAGATCACCTGTCATATCAACACAATAAACCCTTCTAGAACTGGTTGTAAAATTTTATAACTCAAGCACATTTTTGAGATATCCCTCAAATATCTAAAATTTCATTTCATTACTTTCCAATGAACCTTTTTCGGATTAAAAAGAAATCTAATTATTACACCAACTGCATGAGTAATGTCAGGCCATGTACAAATCATAAGATACATTAAAAAAGTAATTGTAGAAGAATAAAGAACACTAGACATAGCTAGTTACTCTTCCTTAGTCACTGAACAACATTTTTTACTTAGATAAAAATGATTGGTAAGTGAACTGCTAACTGATTTAGCATGTTGGATGTTGAATATACTAAGCACCCATTCAACATACTTTTTCCTGTGATAACCATAGCTTTTCAGCTTTCCTATCCTGGATAATGTCTATACTGAGAATTTGCTTTGCTGGACCTAAATCTTTAATGTCAAAGAACTTAGACAATTGTTTTTCAACTTATGAACTATACCAGTATCTTGTCCCACGATCAACATATCATCAACATATAATAAGAGAATAATAAAGTTATCATCATGAAATTTTTTGACATATACACAAGGATTCACTTTGTTCTTTTATAGTTATGACTCACCATAAAAGAATTAAACTTTTTATACCATTGTCGTAAAGCTTGTTTCAATCCATACAAGCTTTTTTTCAGTTTGCAAACTAAGTGCTCTTTCTCTTTCACTTCAAAATCCTTAGGCTGATTTATATAAATGTCTTCCTATAAGTCACCATGCAAGAATGTAGTTTTGACATCAAGTTGTTGAAGCTCAAAATTCAAACTAGCTACTAATCTTAGTACTACTCGAATGAAACTCATCTTCACAACTAGAAAGAAGATCTCATCAAAATTGATGCATGGGTTCTGAGAAAAACCTTTTAACATCAATCGAGCTTTGTACCTCACTAGTTTGTCACCATTATTTTTTAACTTGAACACCTATTTATTCTTTAATGATTTTTTTCTTTCAAAAGTTTAAAAAGATCATATGTACCATTTTTTTGTAATGACTTCATCTTTTCTTTTATTACTTTTAACTAGTGTTTTCTATCTAAAGTAGTCTATACATCTTAGAAGCTCTCTAGCTTCCTCTCACTAGTAACCAAAATAAAATCTAAACTTGGATACCTAGTAGATGGTTTGTGCTCTTTAATAGATCTCTTAGGCTGAAACTCTACACCACCTGATACCGAAGATAACTCTCTTTGCTCAACACTCTTTGGTGGAGAAAACTGCTCACTCTGTTTAACATTCTTAAGCAAAAAAAAATTATTCATCCTGCTCAAAACTGATTACATCTGGCTCATCACTAATTGTGATGGGCTTATTCATATCCTTAAGTTTTATCTCTTGCTTATTTTCACCATCTGTGGCTCTTTTCTTGGACTCAATAGTAACCTGTATAGTTTTTTCATTTTTTTCAAGGTCTGTCATGGTTTTTTTTTCATGAAAAATTACATCTCCACTTTTGACTGTCTTTTTTTTCACTAAATCCCATATCCTACAGCCAAAGTTTTCATCACCATATCTTATAAACACACACTGTGTGGCTTTACTATCAAGCTTTGACCTTTGTTTTTTCAGCACATGTATGAATGTTTTACACCAAAAAATTTTCAAGTGAGAGTATGAAATATCTTTTTCTGTCCATATTTTTTTGGAATGTCGAAGTGCAAAAGAATTAATGGTGATCTATTAAGCAAATAACAAGCTATGTTGATTATTTCACCCCAAAATAGTTTTGGTAATTTGTCATCCTTAATATATATCTGACTTTTTTCATAATAGTCGGTTCATCCTTTCAACTACACCATTATGCTACGGTGTTCCAGATTCTGTAATCTTATACCTAATTTTATGCTTTGAATAATACTCTTTAAAGTATTTGGATGTGTATTCTCCACTATTATCAGTTCAAATACACTTAAAAGGTAGCCTTGTTATTCTTTCATCATGGCATAAAATTTTTAAAAATACTATAATACCTGACTTTTGCTTTTCAACATATACACCCAATTCTTACATGAAACATCATCAATAAAAGTAGCAAAATACCTGCTACCGCCCAATGATTCAACCTCAATAAGACCATATATGTCAGAATGAATCAATTCCAATTTATATTTTTTTCTCTGAGAACTCTTAAGAAAAGAAACTCAATGATACTTGCCAAACAAATAATGATCACATGAATTGAGAGACATACCTTTGGTCAAGAGATTGAAAAATTATCTTGCCAAAACCTGTAATCTCTTTTCTAGCTTCTTATGCCATAAGTTTGCTGAAACATCATCCTCAATGGTATTTAATTGGTTCCCGTTCAATTCCATTCATGTCTTATATATTATGTAGCATAGTTTTCCCCTTATAACTACCATAGATTTTTTGAGAAACTTTAACTTCTTATTCTTTTATCGACTTTTATATCTTTTCTTATCAAGGACATTAATAGCAAGCAAGTTCGTTCTCATATCTGAAATGTGTTTGACATCCTTCAAAATCAATATGTAGCCTATACTAATTTGTACAATAATATCATCAATCCCAATAATCTTTCACACACTCTTGTTTTCCATCTTGGTGCAACTAAAATCTCTTGCTTTGTAAGTTGTAAATTACTCCCTCTTAGGAATACAATGATATGTTGTTCATGTGTCAACTATTCACTCAATGTCAGATCACTAACATTATTATAATCACTATGTGTACAAATCAAAGTAACTGAATCACTATCTGAATTCACTGCTGTAACATTGTCATCATCTGAACTCTTGTTTTTCTCATATTTCCACTCTTGCTTTAAGATTTTGCAGTATTGCTTTATATGATCTGCTTTACCATAATGAAAGCACTTTATTTTATCTCTGAACTTTAATCTATGTTTAGACTTACTATGATCTTTTGAGTTTTAATCTCTGTCGATATTTCTATCTCTGTTATCTATGATTATAGCTTGATTTTTAGAATTTAAATCTTTTCATCTTACTTTTTTTATTAAGCATACTGTCATTTACCATCTCTAATGTCACATTGTAATCAGGAGTTGAATTAAAAATAGTCACAACTAGAACATTTCAGCCATCTGGCAATAAACTCAAAAAAACAACGCCTTCATTTCAACATCTATCTTAAGCTCCATAGTAGTCATTCGATTAAATATATCATGAAAATCGCTAAAGTGCTATGTAATCAATCGTTTATCCTTGTACTGTAAAGTTACCAGCTTTTTAACAAGCATAACTTATTCATATATGTTTTTCTCTCATACAATACTGTCAATTTTTTTCAAACAGTGTGAGCATCTGTTTCCTGCACTACATGATTGAACACACTGATATCAACCTATTTTTTATTGTAGCTAGTGTCTTTCTGTCTAACTTCATTTAACGTTCATCTTTTATATTTGCTAGTTTAGCTAAATCACCCAATACCAACTTATGTAAATCTTTGCAGTATAAATGATCTTCCATCATAACCTTTCAAATTGAATAATTTGATGTTGTCAATTTTATCATGAAACCTATATCACCCTTCATGATCTCAAACAAAATTTATTTCTGTCTTGGGCTGCTTTTGTATCGATGTCTCAAAATAACATTAGCTTTAATATCACTTGTTGGGCCTGAAGTAATAAATACAACAATGCAAAAAAAATATATCGCAATAAACCCATAATAATAGACAATGATTAATAATTAACAATGTAAAAAAAATAAAGCACACTAAGATTTGTGTAAAAAAATCCTCCGGTGTAGAGAGAAAAAATCACAAATCACAAAAAAAATATCTACTATCAAATAATAGATATACAAAGTTCCTCTCTAATTAAAACTAAAGTTAATCAACAATTAGAGAGACACTTGAAGAAATCTCACCAAATAAATGACTCAATAAATATACCTTAAATTTATTCCTAAAGAGCTTTAAATTCGATCTTCACTGTTTAGAATATAAAACTCTATATCATAAATATGTTGATAAAATTTCAGCTCAATTAGATTACAGATCAACTTTCGTTCAATCAACTTTCCTTTCTCCCTTTTCTCTTTATTTTTCCTGACTTTTCTTCTTTCTCTTGGTTTCGACGCCCCCACTCTTCCTAATAAGAAGCTTGAACTCTCGACCTGCATCCATCTCTTTCAATGTCGATAAGAACCGAGCTTGATATTGATCTTGATTTTAGGGAGTTGCAAAACAGACAATGATGGAGCTTTCTTTTTTTTTTTTTCCCTCTTGTTTTTTCTCAATTTTTTACCAGAAAGAGGGAAAATATTTTTATAGAATTTCGCCCTTATTGTCCTCAATAAAATTTTCCTTAACATTTTCACTCTCACCGAACAGTTAAAAAATAAAATCCATGGATTCCATTTTTCCCTCAAATTTTCCATCAAACATAGCCCAGTGTCATCCATTTAAGATAATTGAGATATTCTGTGAATTAGATATGACTTGATTCATAAACATCTCTATTTTTAACTACCGAAATTAGTTAATTATTTTTAACATGTTATGATCCATGACCTTAACTTATGAACATCAACTGGACCTTCTACTTACTTGGTGCACCGCTATTCCTATATTGTAATGCTGATTATCATAGTTAATGAAATTTAACAAGGAAAAGAAATTCCACTTCTAGCTGGTGTTCTTTTGAATTTTCGTTTTCATCCATAGATAAAAGGCAATATCGATTTCGACAAACAATTCCAACAGCATGACAGTCTAAGATTATTACACAAAGGCTGGTTGAACATCATGGATCGTAGCCAAATTTATTACACGAAGGCTGACATACATAGAGCAGGGAAGGACTTGAAATATCAATCAAACTGGCGGAAGAAATCATAAATGTGCTTGTTTATGTCGTCTGCTTTTTCCATGTTGATAAAGTGCCCAACTCCTTCCATTACCACTACTTCCTGCAAAAGTGGCACATCTTTCTTGAACCCACCACTGTGAATGTATTCCTTGATACCAGGCATGTGATAAACCAGGTCCTGATCCCCCACAATGAACTTAGCTGGTACTTTGATCTCACAACCAACCCATGGTGCCAAGAGTTCCCAATTTCTGTCAAAAACCAAACAGAAATATAGCGAACTTGAGATACTGCATAAATTGTTGGTACATATGTATTTTATTCATGTTGTATCAAATACATGTGAAATATAAAAAATTATCGTGTGAAATTTGTGTTAATAAACCAAACACAAAATATATATTTTTTTATTTTTCTCAAAATCATATACAATTTCTATTAAAATTGTAAATGATAACGTTTCCGTGTTACTTTATAGTGTTTAGAATTATCTAGATTAAGGTTGGAAAAAGAATTGAAACATATACCTGTCAAAGTTTCGGTAATAGTTGATTCCACCAGTGAAACCGCCATTCTTGTCAAATTTAGCGACATAGTAGTCAACTTCTTCCTCTGACAACCAAGAAGGTAATTTGATTGGGGTATCTGCTGAATGTCCGAATAGTTTGCCTTTGGTTAACAAAATTGGACCCGGAGCCCTGTATGTTAGGAACTCCTTGACAACTCTTTCTGTACCAATCTCTGCAAATTCTGCTTCTATTTCTCCAGGTTCCTGTTAATATATATCAAAGAGGATTAATCTCTGTTCTGATTATGATCCTCACTGATCTATAAAAAGTTGCCAAATCTAGTGGAACAACATATTGAATAAACCAATAGCAAAAAGTAAAGCCTTCTTGGAACCTATAAAATATTTTGAAACAGACAATAGAAAAGTGTGGCACAAAAACCTGAAATCTGCAGATGTAATAATCATTCCCATAGAAAGCTCTCCAGCCATCAAGGGGCCTAATTTGCCGAGTAAATGGAAGAAATGGCACACTCAAATTCAACAAAGCTTTCACTTTGTCTGGCCTAAACAAACACAAATACCAAGCCATGTAAGCGCCCCAGTCATGTCCTACTACGAAAACCTTCTCCTGGTCTGGAGCAACAGCATCCAAAAGCTCAACCAAATCCCCCAGTATATGGAAGCACGTGTAACTGGCGACGGGATGTGGGTCATCCGTGTCACCGAAGCCCCTCAGGTCAGGGGCCACAGCTCGGTAGCCCAGGGAAGACAAAGCAATGATCTGGTGACGCCAAGAGTACCATAGCTCGGGGAAGCCATGGAGGAAAAGAATCACAGGACCTTCCCCTTTTTCTGCCACATGCATGTTTATACCATTCACCTTCACTATTTTGTGTTCTATCCCTTCCATTTTCTTAGATCTGAGCCCAACTCAACAACTACTCTCTCTTTTCTTTGTTTGTCACTGTAACATCCTTTTATAGTACCATAGCCTATTGATTCTTTGTACTGTGTGTGCATTTGAATAACGCGCAACAGCAAGGTCAGTACCGTCATTACAACTGATTTTGAGTGATATAAACGAATTTTATTATATACCTAATCTGTTCATTTAATTAAAAAATTAAAAAATATTATTATGATTATTTGTTAAGTTTAATATATAAACATAAATAAATAAAAATCAAGCTTACTTACCAATTGTTTATAAATCATTTTATTAATTTTCATAAAAAAATTTTATTATACTCATGATATATTGTTTAATTAATTATCTTAAAAATATTATTTGTCTTATGATTTTGATCTTACCTCCTTCGTGGATGGTATTAAATTTCTTACTTAAAGGGTTTGACCCATTTGCTTTCGTATCAGACAAGGAACATATTTTGAACGAGGGCCGACTAATAATCGAAAGGGGTTGAAGCTACTTGGTCGTCCCTTTCTGGTAAGGGGGCATCCTCATGCCGATTGAGGAAAATCTAGATCAGTACAGCAAGATGTAGCTCATCCCCCACTTTCAGTATTATTCGCAATTATTTATTAAATTTAATAAATGCATAAAAATTAAATATATTCACAAATTATTTAATAAATATTATATTTGTTTACACCCTTATCTTTAATCTCTCATCGGACCCAAATTGAGCATTGTAGGTCATCTTACATTCTTCATACTACATGATGTTCGTGAACCAAATGGGATAGTTTGAATATATGTTAAAGATTTTTAAAATAAAGTATGAAAAATAATTTTACATTAAAAAAAGATAAAATTTTAAATTAAGATGAGTAAAAGTTCAAAATAGTTGAATTTAAGTGGTTAAAGTGTAAAAATGGACCATGAGCGTACATTTTCTGGTTTGGTTGGCTTTACATTAATTAAATAATTAATGTATATTAATATGTAATTAATGACATTTGCAAGTGTGGTGCATAAAATATTATTTTATTTTATTTAAAGTTTAATTTTGTGCAAAACAAACAAATAGATAAGAAAGATAATTTAGTTTGTATGAAACAGATAGATAAATGGTTCAAATAAACAATTTTAATTATTAAAAAATAGATAATTTTTATCTATTCAAAATAAATAATTATATCTGTATAATAAAAAGATATTTAATTAATTATGTAAGTTTTGTTGATTTTTTGAAAAATATAGAAACAATTTGTAGAACTCTCCATTTTTTTTCAAATAAACTTCAATTTTTTTTTATAAAGTTTTTGTCGTAAAAAGTATTTATAAAAGTTCAATGATTTTGTAATACGTTGATAAGTACTTAATAGATTGATTTCATTAGTGCAAAAAAAATCAGTCATTAAGTTTTATTATATCATCAAGGTTTATTGTCTATAATCTTTTTACATACCTATTAGTCAATAATATGATGAAGGTAAATAAAACCTTAAGAAAAATAATACAATTACATGATCCTTTCTTCAAACTTTTAAATTTACGAGAAGCAATGATTCCAAATTTTTAGTTTTTTGTTCTAACAATATAATATTACATTCCAACCAATAATCTTAAATAACTTGAACAAAATGTCTTCACTTTTATTGAATTTATTTGATAAACTAATAACAAGAAAGTGTATCTTATTTTATCCAATTTTTTTTTTAATTTCAACTTAAATTCACAAATCAATTTTTTCACTTCTCTTTATCAAATATATAACTTACTTAAAATGTTATTAAATGTATTAGACAAAAATATGCTAAGTAAAATAATATGCATGTTGATTAAATTTTTAAAGTTATGAATTCAAAAAATTTAAAGACGTGATATTTTTAAATAAATAAAGATTAAAAAATAAAAAAATAATATGATTATTTAAATAGGTGTTTAGTTCATGAAATCTTAAATTTTGGAAGAGAAAATGATTTAGAAGAAAAGTAATATTGAAGAAAAATATTTGATTCTTGGGTTTTCGTTGACTTAGAGGATATAAGATTTTTGTATTTGGTTCACAAGAATGTAAAATTACCTAATAAAATATTTTACTTTATTGTTCTTGATAACACATGAATAATTTGTGATATTTATAATATTGATACGTGAATAACACGTTAAGTCTATATATTTTAGATTTTATATGTAATAATACAATTTCTCATATTTTCAACAAAGACTTTGTTTTTATTTTAGAAATGTCATATTTTCAACAAAAAATTTTGTTTTTTAATTTTAAAAACATCATTTTTGTTGAATTTAAAAAATATTTTTTTATGTTTTCAATAAAAATTGCATTTTTTAATCTAAAAAACGTCATCTTTATTAAATTTTAAAAAATATATTTTTTATGTTTTCAACAAAAATTATGTTTAGATCTTAGAAACATCATCTTTTTAATAAATACTGTGTTTTTTATATCAGAAATGTCATCTTTGTTGAATTTAAAAAATATTTTTTCATGTTTTTAACAAAGATTACGTTTTCTATTTTAGAAACGTCATTTTTATTAAATTATATGTCGTAAAGTCTAGATCCGGGGATCTATCGTATGACATTGACTTTTAGGGAGTCGCACAAATTTTTTATTAAGTGCATTGACTAAGAATTTTTTCAGGGAACTAAGTTTAGGGTCTAAAAGAATAGTTTAGCTAACAGAACAAGTTCAGGTCGGTTACGTGTGAGGAAGTTATAGCACAAACTTCAAAATGGTACCAGCTTGAATTTGTGTATCCAAAAGCCTTAAAATTTTACCAAGTAGTTAGTTGTTGAAAATTATTCTCAATTGACTCTAATACTTTTAGCAGAAAATTGAGAAAATTCCCTCACCTCAAGAGTATGCAAGAAAAACTACTGTTTCACTTACAGAGGCTCCGTCGTCAGATTTTAAAGAAAGAGAAAAAAAAAAACAAAATCAAAATTAAGATAGAAAGGAAGGAAAGAATGAATTTTTTTGTAGGGAAAATTGATACTTTCAACTTTTCCCCAAAAATATTTTTTTTGAAATTTTGATTTTCAAGGAAAATTGATACTTTCAACTTTTTCCCAAAAATAGTTTTTGGAATTTTATTTCTAAGGAAAATTGATACTTTCAACTTTTCCCTAAAAATGTTTTTTTTTTAAATTTATTTCTGAGGAAAATTGATACTTTCAACTTTTCCCCAAAAATATTTTTTGAAAATTTATTTCTAAGGAAAATTGATACTTTCAACTTTTTCCTAAAAATATATTTTTTTTAGAATTTTTTTATTTTTATTTAAAAATAAATAAAAAGAATATTACATAAACCTAATCTAATAAATAAAAAATAAAATAAACAAAGAAAAAAAAAAAAAAAAACCTGGAGCGGCTCGGCTCAAGGCAGGAAAACGGCTCGGGGGGGAGCGGCTTGGCGGCTTGGCTCGGCTCGGCTCGGCTCGGAGGGGGCTGGCACGCGCGGGTCAGAAAGCGGGTCGACGCCAGGGTCGGGTCGGGTTGCGGCAAAACGCGCGGATCCTCTGGGTTACTTAAGGCCAAAACGACGTCGTTTTGGGAGGGTATAAAAGGCACCTTCCTCCATTTTTCGGCAGAACGCTCCTCCCCCTCTCTCTCTCTTCTTCCTTTTTCTCTCCCTTCTCTCTAGAAACCGAAGAACACCGGTGCCGGATTCTGGAAATTTTCGCCGGAATCTGGAAATTTCACCGGAAGTTGGCCGGAAAGTCGCCGGTTTCTGGGATTCTTCGCCGGAAACTGGGCAGGTCGCCGGAAACTTCAATGTTGGCCGGAATTTTCGCCGGAAAATTCAAACTTTGCCGGAATTTTCGCCGGAAAATTCAAACTTCGCCGGAATTTTCGTCGGAATCTGGAAATTTCCCAGAAATTTCCAGAAAAAATTTTCGCCAAAAATTTCTAAAAAATTTTTCTCACTCCCAGAACACTCCTAAACTTTTTCTAACTTCCTATACGCCTCCTTTTCTCTCAAATCAGTAGCTTTGCTTACTGTTTTCTCCCTTCAGCATTGTTCCAGGGGGGTCCCTTTTATAGGGATTGATCAGGAGTTCCTGATCAATCCCAATTCCTCCTTGGACGAGAATTCAATCTTTGAATCCCACTGGACTCTTCTGATTGAGTTCCCCTCCACAGTGGGATTCTTCAGCCTTGAATCTTAGCCCTCCAAAATTAAAATCAAAATAAATAAAAAATACTAGATAATTAGAAAAGATAAATCAAAAGATATTATAAAAAAAAAAAATATCTGATAATCAGGAAAAATCAGAACAGATAAAAAAAATAAATAAATATATAACTATATACATATAAATCTAATCTAATAAAAAATAAATAAATAAATAAATATATACATAATAATAAAATACATAAAATACATAAAATACAAAATAATACAGGACAAATTGAATTGGGCCATACCCATTTGGGCCAGGCCCAATTGATCTGGGCCGGACCCAATTGGGTGTCTACATTATAAAAAATATTTTTTTTCATGTTTTTAACAAAAATTGCGTTTTTTATCTTAGACTCTGTTTGTTTTATAGAAATTGATTTTCAAAAAATATTTTTTGAAAAATGTTTATATTTTCTAAAAAAGTAAAGATATTTTGTTGTTTGGATTTTAAAAATGTACTCCATTTGGTTTGAGAAAATATTTTTTATTTTTATTTTTTAGAAAATAATTTTTATTTTCTATTTTTTGTTTTCTAAAAAATGTATTTGGTAAATGAAAATAAAATTTATTTTCTAAAATGCAAAAATAAGGAAATAAACAAAATATTCAATAATATTACTATTAATGTCATTTAATTATAAATATAACATATATTTATTAATTAATGATATTAAAAAGTGTTTAAATATAGTAACTTGCAAAACGTAAGGAAAAAATAATGTATATTCCTTATATTCACAATTGAAAACATCTTTTTCTTTTTGTTTTCATATTTCAACCTATTGTCATTTTTGTTTTCTAAAAACTTGTTTTCATTTTCAATTACCAAACATGTTTTAACTCATATTTTTCATTTTCTTAAAAAATGAAAAAAGAAAAAATAAAATATGAAAATTATGTTTTTACCTTAAAAACGTCGTCTTTATTGAATTTTAAAATTTATATTTTTAATTTTTTTAACAAAAACTATAATTTTGTCTTATATACGTCATCTTTTCAACAAAAGATTGTATTTTTTATCTTAAAAACGTTTTCTTTATTGAATTTTAAAAAATATTTTTTCATGTTTTTAACAAAAGTTGCTTTTTCTATTTTAGAAAATGTTGTCTTTATTGAATTATGAAAAATACTATTTTCATGTTTTCAGTAAAAATTTCGTTTTCTATCTTAGGATCCATTTGTTTCATTGAAATTAACTTATAGAAAATATTTTTGGGAAACTATTTACATTTTTTAAAAAAGTAAAAATTTTCTATTATTTGAGATGAGTTACTGAAAAATGTTTTTTGTTTCTTGGTTGTTTTCTGAAAAATCTACTTATTTTTTCAAATAATTTAATATAATTATTAAAATATTAAAAATTATTTATTGTGAAAGTATTTTGAAATTATTTAATATTAAAATATTATATTAATATAAAAATACTTAAAATAAAACTATTTATTACTCTTTATATTAATATTTTAAAATATTTAAAATAGTAATATTATTCTTAAAATATTATTTTTATGAATATTTAAATAGTAGCATTTATTATTAAAATATTTATATTTTATATTAAAATATCTATTATTAAATCAAACAAAAATATTTTTTATTTATATTTATTATTAAAATAGTATATAAATACTTAATAAATAAAAATGTAAAATTATATATTTTAAACTAAAAATAATAAGAAATTATTTAAAATATCCATATTAAGAAAATACATTATTATATTATATAACATTAATTATTAAAATAAGAAAATATTATTATATATGTTATTATTTTTCATTAAAATAATAATATAATACTATTTATTAGTGAAATATTAAAAATATTATGTTTAATAATATACAAAATAAAAATATTTAAAATTGAAATATTAAAAGACTTTTAATGTTAATATTTTTATTTTTTAATTAAAATTAAATAATATATTTTTATTAATATAATATTTTAAGTCGAATCAAGTTAAATTTGAATTTAAAATATTATATTCAAAGTCTTATTTGAGTAAAACTATAAAAATATTTAAAATTAAAATAATAAAAGACTTTTAATATTAATATTTTAATTTTTAAGTAAAATTAAATAAAAATATTATTTATTAATATAATAGTATTTTGAGTAAGATCAAATTAAGTTTAAATTTAAAAAAATCATGTATAAGGTTCAACTCTAGTAAATTTATGCTAAAACACACTGATAAATAATTTTACCCATTCTGAAAACTATTTTCCCCTTTGAAAGGAAAAGATAATTTCTAGAAAAATTACCTTATTTTTTGTTGATTAATAAGTTATTTTTTGTCAACTAATTTGTTTTTTGCCAAATGAACACCTGAAAATGCATAATCATTTTTTTGAAATCATTTTCTGCCAAACAAACAGATCATTAAAAATATTATAAGTTCCAAGTATCAATTATTACAGTTTATAAAGTTTGCAAAACTCTCTCTTTCTTCAAATAAATTTCAAATTTTTTTTATAAAATTTTTGTTACAAAAAATCTTTATAGAAATTTGGTGATCTTATAATACGTTAGTGAACACTTGGTGGACTGATTTCATCAGTGCACAAAACAATCATCATTAGGTTTTATCATATCATTGAGGTTTATCACCTGCAATCTTTTTATACACCTACTAATAAATAATATAGTAGAAGCAAATAAAACCTTAAAGAAAATGATACTATTATATGAGTCTTTTCTCAAAATTTCAGATTTACTAAAAGTAGTAATTATAAATTTTTAATTTTTTATTCTAACAATATAATATTACATTCCAACGAATAATCTTAAATAACTTTGAACAAAATGTCTCCACTTTTATTGAATTTATTTGATAAATTAATAACAAGAAAATGTTTCTTGTTTTATCCAATAAAAAAAATTAAACTTAAATTCACAAATCAAATTTTACACTTCTCTTCCTCTAATAAATAACTTTCTTAAAATGTTATTAAATTTATTAGACAAAAAATATTAATTAAAATAATATGCATGTTGATCAAAATTTTACAATTATTAATTCAAAAATATATTTTTAAAAAATATTTTTTTTACATTTTCAATAAAAATATATTTTTATCTTAAAAACGTTGACTTTTCAACAAAAATTGCATTGTCTTTATTAAATTATAAAAAAATTTTTTATCATGTTTTTAATAAAAGGTTATATTTTTTATCTTAAAAATATTATCAATTTCAAATAATTAATTACTACGATATATCAAAGACTACGCTTTCTATAATAAAAAACATAATCATTAATATAAAAAAATATAAATCAAAATTTTGTTTTATCAATTAGTACGTTTTTTTACATATAAAATGTAGTTAAAAGTAAAATAAATATTATATTATACTGACTCTATCAACAATAATTATGTTTTTATATATAAAAAAATTATAATTTATCATTTATTATGTTTTCATATTAAAAAAGTTGTTGATATTGAAAATATAAAATTTATTTTCTTATTATATTTTACAATCAATTACATTTTAGATGTGAAAAACGTAATGAATCTAAAACTACAAAAAAATTCAAAATCTTAATTTTGAAACAATTTACTGCGTTTTTCTTTTAAAACATTGCTTTTATTATAATTATTTTTTATAATATATTATAATATATGTTTATATTTTTAACATAATAACTTTGTGTAAATGAAAAAAATTGATTTATTAAGATTTTTTTATATATCTCTTAACTATGTTTATAATTTAAAAATTATTTTTATGAAACTTTATCAATTAAAAATAAATATTTAAATTTATAAAAATTCAAATATACATAATTATAAAAATTTAAATATACATGATAATTTGATAAAAAATGTAACTTTGCCCAAACGTGTAGCTAAAATTGTAACTTTAGACATCAAAATGAGTTTTGATTTATTATGTAATTACATTAATTTTTAAAAGAAAAATAAATCGTAAAAAATTATTATTAATATTAAAAATAGGACAAATTTTACACTCCTCGTAAAATCCTAAAAAATTTTAGAGAGAGAGATGAGTTCGGCCTATCACCTTCGTGTTTTACACTAAAAATCTTAGAATCCTCTATGAATTAAATATCTTGGACTCAATTAAATAATCAAATAATAATAATAATAATAATAAAAAGGATTTCAGTCAATAATCTAAAATTTCTCTTCACCAAACCTCCTAAAAATTGTAGACAATTTATTAATTTATTGAGTTCTCTAGCTGTCTGAGGTAGCTGAGCTCTTTGGAGAAAGGATCTTTTGTCTTTGTTGCTTTCCAGTTCATCAGAACCGCACAATCGAGAGTCTACCGCAGAAGGTTCCCGTTTAATATGCTTTCCTTTGCCCTTTGCCTTCAAAGTTCAAGCCTTCAAAACAGTAAAAATTCCGAACTACATCGGTAAAGTTAAGTATTTTAGCGGTGGTTTTCCCTTCCTAGGTGGGGGTGGTTTGGGTGGCTTTCGGTTTTTTTTTTTTGGCTCTCTCTCCCTTCCTCTGTCTCTTATCTTTTCACGCATCTCAAAACACGAATCTTCCCCCGCTTCATACCCTTTCCTTTTGAAGGTAAACTTATGTTTCCGACTTTTCTTTTTATTTCGTTTTAATTCTTGATATTCTCTATTCTGCCTTTGTGACATGGCTGGAACTGAATTTCCATTGTTTGATGTGTTTATTTGGATTTTTTTTTTCTTTTTTGAAATAATTACTTGAGTTAATTCCCCTTATTTGAGTTACGTTCGACCTGAATGTGTACCACTGTTTGATTTTATTTTTCCAGGGATTTGATGTAATTCTTGTTAGATTAATGCTTTTGCAATGAATGAATTGTGTTGACCATTAGGATAATGTTTAATTACTAAGGCAATTTTGCTGAATTATTGTCTTAATTTTTTATGGATCCCACTACTTCCATACTTTTCCCATGTAAGACATTATTTACTTTCTTTTTTTCCTTTTGCTATGGTCTGATTTGAATTTGCAATCCATCTGATTATTGTTATTATCACAGAATTATCATTACCCTTTAAGCTGCCAGAATCAATGTGACAAAGTTCAGTTATTGCTCTGGAAACTAAAATTGAAAGGGCTAAAAATGAAAGAGCACAATCAGTAAAATCAAAATTTTCTTGTATCCTTGGTATAAATAGGGTTTCTCACATATCAGCAAAGCTTTTTGAAAATGAGCAGTAAAATAGATTTCTCCTGTTTTCAAAATGACATACAACATGATGGCACTATTGTTGCAAACCAATGTGACAATCTTATTTCTTTTTCGGTTTAGTTGGTTATGTTAGTTTGGTTATGAGTCTGCTAATTGATTATTTTTCCTTCTTGGTTAATTGATTATTTTTCCTTCTTGGTTTGGTAGAATTCATTGTGGTTCACATTACATTGTTTTGGTGTCTAGGCTGCAACCACTGTCGGCACTCCCATGATTTCTGCACAGAACAAAGATTTATGTTAGATTCAAGTTAGCAGTTAACCAGTCAAGCCACAGGATAGCCACAAAGCTTCAAAAAGAGAGATGAATTCTGAGGAGAAAATTCTTGTTGAAATCATAGATGAGAACAAACAGATTGACCTTGCCAAATATATACACTACGTCAGTGCCCCTCAAGCGGGTGCCATAGCAACATTTTCAGGCACAACACGCGACACTTTTGAAGGCAAAACAGTAGTGGAGCTAAGATATGAAGCATATGTTCCAATGGCAATTCGAAACCTAAAGTCCATCTGTTCCTCTGCTAGATCATCCTGGGATCTCCATTCTATTGCAGTTGCCCACCGTCTAGGTACAGTTCCGGTAGGAGAAACGAGCGTCTTCATTGCAGTATCAGCTATTCATCGTGCTGATGCCCTAGATGCTTGTAAGTTTTTGATTGATGAGTTAAAGGCATCTGTTCCAATATGGAAGAAGGAGGTTTATTCTAATGGAGAGGTTTGGAAGGAGAATACAGAATTTTTGGAGCGGAGGTTAGAACTTGGTAAGGATGGCGGCTGCCACAGAAGGAAGATTGAGACTGAGGCACATGATATAAAGGAATGTTGCAAACCCAAGGTCAAGGTGGACGAAGCAGCGGATATTAGCACTAGCTAAGCTAATTAGAGACAATGGAGATCCGCTCTTTCATATTTTCATATACATTTCTTGTTTGTTTTCCAAAGATGTCAAAAACCTTGTAATGCTGCATAACCTTGGAAAAAATAAACGGCATATCTCACAGATTGCTTCAATAATTCTTATATCTCTTTGGGCCAGAGATATTGGTGAGATGTGATGCTGTGTGTTTCAGAAGATAGACAAAAGAACAAAGATTCATTTTTCCCATGTCAAAATCAGTGTTCTCTATAACATCTTGTGATAAAAAATCATGACCCTTTGCAAGAGAGTTGCCAGTTAGTTTGAACAATAACAATAGCAAATTAGTTAGTACAAAATGCAACTAAGCATCATTCTTTACAAAAAAAAAATAAAAAAATCACATTGTTATATCAAATTCCTGGTAATAGTCAAAGGACAAAATGTACAAACTACCAGACCATAACAGAAACATGATCACCCTATCCAAATATAGAAGAACACAAGAGCATTGAGAAACACAAATCATCTGAAATTCAGAATAACTCTCCATGATTTGGCAAAAGGCTTTTTGCTGGGGACAGGAGAGCCACGGCACTGCGATCTGGACTTGAGAATTTCCGATGTATTGCCTTGAGCTTGCTTTCTGCAGCTGTGGAGTGAAATTTGACCAAGAGTTTTGCACAATTCCTGTTACAGCTTACCAGGAAAGAACATATCAAATTTGTTATTTTATCAGGAGATGTTCACATTGATCGAAATTGGAAAATTAAATGAAAGGAAAAATGGGAAAGGAGAGAGTACGTGAGCTGGTCTTCAGTGTAGCCTGTATGATGCTTCAGAGTTTCACTCCAATGAGGGCTCTTGTCAAGGGTGCATCTTGCAGCATACACTGCAGCAGCAGCTAACATGGAAGGACAGTACAAAACTACGGTTGGGTATTGCATCAGACCAAGCTCAGCAAGGAAAAACACCAGATCCTCCATCTGCATTATCACCAAAATCAATCACATTAACCTATAATAGAAAATTTCTAAAAGGATAGTGAGCCGCTAGACAAAATTCTACCTTATCATCAGATAGAATAGAGGCTTTGATGAACCGAACGAGGAAGACATATGCTGTAGGAACTGTTAGGTACCATTCTAACTTATCCAAGATTGCTTTCTCCATTACCAAGACCTGCTCTCTAGCATAAGCATTGTCTGATATGAAAACAAAGTCATTGACCTGAAAAATTGAAAACCAGAAGGCAAAGTAAGAGAAACAATAACAAAATCAAGAGAAGCAGAACCCAGTTGTACAAATGCATACATAAAGTACCTTTGGTGCCCAAATCTCTTCATACTTGCATGCTATGAGCATTGCACTAATACCCACCAACTGAAGTTCCTTTCTTGGTACAACCTTCACCGAAAGGAATCGATCAACAATATTCATGGTAAGATAAAGTGTTTCTGGCATAAGATCGAATTTGCAATGGACTTCAATCAACCAATCTACAAGGATTGATCTCATCTTTGCATTAATATCTGGCTGCAAATCCATATAGTCACGTGCCTGACCCTCGTCCTGCATCAGAAGACTTATGATGTTAGCAATATGAAATATATAGAAGAAAAAAAATCATTAGTGAAAGTGAAAAATTATTAACTTCTGAGAACTTGTAGAATTTGTAGATATCATCCACATATTCAGCAACAGCCAACTCATTACCAACATCAGCTCCATCAATGTCCTCAATCGAATCTTTAGGCTTATTGGTAAGACCACAAGCAGCCTAAGTGAAATCAATTAATTCACAAACAGTAAAAAACACGATAAAAACAAAAATGCAATCAATTCTTCACTCGATATATCTATGTATATTACCTTGCGTCGAGCAGAGAGGATTGAAGTGAGGGTTTTGACTTCCTTCCTTGAAGATCCTTCTCTCCTGCTAACATGTCCAGTTTTCCTAGTTTTTTCATCAGAGCTCATCACGATCAGGGTCTCAGGTTTTGGTTTGTCTTTGTCAACCTTGTCAACTACCTTTCTTTGGGTTGCCACCTCCTTCGTCACTGCACCACCACCTCCTTTCACAGATTGTGCGACATTAGCAACTCCTTTAGTAATTGGTTTCTACAAGCAAACCAAGAGCAATAGGTGATTTTGTAATATTTGCAACTATGAGTATGTATAATTAAAAGTGAGGAAAAGGAAAAATGAAACTTTTATGTTTATGGAACTACCTTTCCTTGTGCTCCTCGTTCTTTGACAAAATTGCCAATGTCTTGAAGAACTCTTCGATTCCTTCCATCTGCTATTATATTTTTCGGCTTTACTTCTGAAAAAAGAAAGTGAAAGAAAGAAGTCAGATTTCCGGAAAAGTATATCTGGGGCCTGGAAAAGAAACATATTGGTTCTGGCAGTTATTCAAAAGGAAAAAACGAAATATCAAATATCAAAGGGAGGAAAAGAAAAGCTCATTACATAAATACTAATACTGATTGTGGAAAAAACTCAGAAAAAGGACAAACTCAGTATCCAGCATAACAAAAAAGAAAACCCCAAAAACCAAGAATATAAAAGAAATTAATTTTCCCAATAAACCTTATCGCTGATTTTATGTTTTTACTAGTTTTCTGTTTCTTATGTTTTAGATAAGAAATAAACATAAAAAATGTTGTCCATCCTATTTCCCATGCATCACCAATGACCAAACAGGATTTCTTTCCCTTTTTTCCTAATTTTCCTTGATACTTTCTTTTCCTTCAAAATTTCCGTGAACCAAATAGAGCCTCAAGAAACTAATCAAACAATTCTAAATTTAATAAAAGGAAGTCAGGAAATTGAACTACAAAAACCTCAGAAGATCATTCAAAAATGAAAGATAATACTAGTGATTTAACTAGTTCAAATCCTGAAAATCCTGGACCTGATTCAACCAAAAAATCCCGGAAACCAAAAGAAATAGCATCAGAATCAAACAAAAGAACTAGCAATCAAGGATAACCCCTCCAAGAATCCAAGATCAGTGCAAAAATTTCGAAGTTCGAAGGAAACGAACACAAATATCAAAACACAGAAAGAATCAAGAGCCAGTTAAAAAAAAAAAAAAAACCAACCATTATTTTTCTGCTGAGGAACAATAGCTTCAGACGCCATCTCTGGTTCTTCTTCTTGTTCTACAACCTGGCCTAAAACTCCACCAATGCTGGCAAAAAATGATGAAAGAAACACCAGGAGACGGCTTCCACGCGTCTCCCCTTCTGGGTTCCTAGTCGCCACCCTATATTTCTTTTCCTCACTGCAAAAGTTCTTGGTCTCTGCTCTTTTCCCTTTGTTGTTGAATGGATTTTTCCGTGTTACTACTGAAAATGAGTTGTTAATTATTTTTTTCAAGTAGGCTAGTTCCCATTTGAAGCGATGTTAAAAGGAAGGCACGCTTCTCTTCAACGGTCCAATTTCTGAAATCGAATTTTGGCCGTTTGATTGAATGGGAATCTACCGGCTCTCAAGCGCTTTGGTTTGGAATTTTCCAGCCCTTATATGTGTACGGGCTGGGTTTTGTTGATATAGGCTTCTGGCCGGTTGGAGTTAAACAGAATAGGTCTAAAATAACTTTAAATATCATTTTAATTAATAAATTTATAATTTAAATATTATAATAAAAAATTGATAACTAATGTGTCATATTAAAATTTTTTATTATAATTTATAAATCATTTGTAACATTAACCAAAAAAATAAATTTATTTGGTAAAAACCATGAAATTATTTTACTTCTTTTCTCGATCATAAAACTAAAAACAAAAGATATTTTGGGATTTAAGTCAATTTTATTGTTATATTATGAGTCCATATATAATTTTGTTATTGAACTTAAATTTTGTTCTACTCTATTTTAAACTTTTTATCAAACAAATATAAAAAAATATAAAAATTATTTTTTGAAAATATTTTTTCAAAACAAATGGAATTTAAGTTTTTTTCTCATATTTTTGGCATTAATAATATATAAATAAATAGGCTAAAATATTAAGAAAAACTCTTATACTTTTTTTAAATTTCTTAAATAAACTCTCATCCTTCTATTGTGCCCAATTAAATTTTAAAAGATTATTTTTGTTTAATCAAACCCTTATTTTGTATAAAAATATCTAAAATCCATTAAACAAATAAGGATTTAATTAAATAATAATAGTACTTTAAAGGCTTATAATTAGATAACAATAAAAACATTAAGAATTTAATTAGACAAAAAAATATTTTAAAAGGGTGTTTGGTTCGAGGATTTTTAAATTTTGGAAAGAAAAATGATTTTAAGATAAAGTGATATTAAAAGAGAATGCATAATTTTTAGGTTTTTGTTAATTTAAAGAATGTAAAATTTTTATATTTGATTCATAGGAATGTAATATTACTTAATAAAATCTTTTATTATATTATCTTTGATAACATGTGACATTCATAATATTGAAATATCATCTTTTCAATAAAAACTTTGTTTTTTTTATCTTAAAAACATTGTCTCTATTGAATTATAAAAAATATTCTTTTTCATGTTTTCAACAAACATTGCATTTTGTATTTAAGAAACGTCATATGTATTAAATTCTAAAAAACATATATTTTTATACTTTTAACAAAATTATATTTTTATCTTAAAAATATTATCTTTTTAATAAAAACTATGTTTTCATATGAGAAACATTGTTGTTTAAACAAAGATTGTCTTTTATCTTATAAACATTATTTTTTCAACAAAGATTATGTTTTTTATCTTATAAACATTGTTTTTATTAAATTCTAAAAAATAATTTTTTTCATGTTTTTAATAAATACTATATATATATATTTTTTATCTTAGAAGTATTGTTGTTGTTGAATTTTAAAAAATATATTTTTTTTGTATTTTCAACAAATATTATATTTTTTATATTAAAAAATATTATTTTCTATGATTAATTACATTTCATACGTTAATAATGTAGTACTTCTAAAATTATAAAAATTTCAAATTTCATATTTTTAACAATCAATTAAGTTTTTCTTTTTAAAACGTTAGTTTTATTATAATTAATTTTTTCATAATATATTATAACATATGATTATGTTTCTAATGTAACAATGTTATGTAAGTGAAAAATTTTAACTTTGCATGTTATAATGGATCTCGATTTATCATATAATTATACTGATTTTTAAGGTAAAATAAATCATAAAAAATTATTATTGAGGATACAAATGAGATAAATTTTACATTTTACTAAAAATCTTTAAAAAATTGAGAAAAAGGGATTTTTTATTAAAGTTATCATAATCTTTTTTTGATATTATTGAAAATCTTAAAACACCTCAAATGAGATTCCATGAATCAAAACTAAAAATCAAATTACAGAAAATAAAATTTGGACTAGTAATATTTTTCTCTCTATCCAAATGCTAAGGATTTAATTGGGTACAATAAAAAAAATAATGACTTGTCTAAAAATTTAAAACAAGAGGGCTTTTAAAAATTTTAGCTGAATAAATATTATTTATAGGTAGCCCTTCTTTAATTTGTCTACAAAATTATCAAAACATGTGGACTAAATTGAACATCTGAAACAATTGTATGGATAAAAGCATAATTATCCTAAAAGGAAGATAATAAAAAACAAAAGAATAATGGAATTTTATTATTACATTTAAAGAGTCTAGAGCTGCAAGGAATCGAACGCCTTACGTCAGCCACGGGAAGCAAGCCCCCCGCATCCCACTATTCGAGACAATTCCCCTCACGCAGCCCGGTCGATCGTGAGCAAAACCGGTGCCCAAAAGACACCCAGCGCCAAGAGCTTGAAACTCTTGGAACTCTTCCATATAATACTAAACATTCGAAAACTCTTTGTTTGAAGCTTTAAATCATTCCTAGATTCACCAAAACCGCACGGCAAAACCCTTCGTATACATTTTTTTTGCTTTCTGTCAATACCTCATTCCCTTTAGAAATGGATTTCCAAGTAGTGGTTTTAGCCGGTGGCACTTCAAAGAATCTGACTCCCCTTGTCTCCAGGGTCTTCCCTTCCATTTATTATTTCTTTTTTCATTTAAAAAATACCCATTTCATAGTTTCATCAAAAACCCTTTCTTGAAATGCTTGCAGGAAGTGCCTAAACCGCTGCTTCCGGTTCCCAACCGCCCTGTTCTTGACTACGTTTTGCGCCAATTAGAACAAAGCAACCTTAAAGATCTCATTATTGTAAGAAAAAAAAAAACTCAATTCCCCTTGTTTCTTTTATTCTTTATTACTAAAGTGTGATAGTTTGATTGTTGTTAATGTTATCTATAGTTTTTAGGGTTTTTGATTTTGGTTTGAATGTTTGGGGGGAAAATAGGTGGTTGAAGGGGAAGATGCAGCACATCTTACTGGTGCATGGATTTCTAGGACTTTCGTTGATCGTCTACATGTTGAGGTACTTATCCTTTTTTTTTTTTTACAATTTAATTTTAAGATTGTTTGTGTTGAAACTATGCTATTGTATTGGTTAATGAAGGATATATATTAGACTTTAATTACTCGTCTCTGTTTTATGAATTTTATTACTTGATTGGAACTAATGTACAGTACAATTCGACTTGATTAGTCCCATGAAATTTGATTTTGAGAAAAATGAAGGGGAGTTGTTGCAACTAGGTCACCTGTTAAGGTATTTCAAGGTTTTTGATGATGTGCAATATCCAGAAGCTGATTATTATCTGGAAAAATTGATGGACAACTTCATTAACATTGATGGAATGAGTTGTACTGTATGTTATTCCGTATTTTCTTAGTTCTTGTCTTATGAACTGGAGTTTCTCGCTCATAAGCACCTTCACCTGTGTAGAGTTTTAACTCATTTTCACTGAATTCTCACCTTCACCTTTACAGAATCAAACCAGAATATCTACCATGTGAGTTCTATTTTAGGAAATCCCTTGAAACCTACCATGTGCACATTTTGTACCATTATTTGCAGGATACCACACTCTGAGAAGGTTTCTTGCTATCACAATCACAACAACAAAAAAATGAACTAGAAAAGCTTTTTTTGTCTACCTAGAGAAAATGTAAAAATTAATTATATGAAATAATGAAAACAGAATTTTCTTATGAAGACTGCAAATTAGAAGAGGCTATTCCTTCTTATGAAGATTTTACTGGAGATACATACATCCAAGTTACATGAGGCTCTTCTTTCTCACAAAATGATATTCTTTCCTTGTGTCTCTATTGATTCAAGACTTGGAAACAAGTTACAAATGTTTTGGATGTTGTGGTGGCTTATGAGTAAAATTATTTGCCATTGAAAGAGGATTTCATGAGCTTTTAGTTGACTTGGTGTTTGTAGAAATAAGTTCAGAAATAGAATTATACTTTATGGGTTTGTTTTAGTTGTTTCTTTTGTCAGATCTGGAATTATTGCCTATGCAATTTGTGAAGTACTAAATATTCTTCCTAGGGTGAGTTTGAATTACAAATTTTGTAAATGGTCATAACAGGTAGATCAAGCTTAGGAAGCTACATGGAGCCAGTTTTGTAGCTTTAGATGATAGAAATATCAAATACAACAGAATAATAGAGATGAATCCCTTTTGTCAGATCTTGGGAATAATGTGAGATGAATACCATTGCATAATGTCAATAATGAGTGTGTTATTATCAAGATCATTTCCCCTTCTAGATGGGGTGTGGTCGGATGCATTCTATGGTGGTAAACTTAATTTATGCTCATTCTTGCATGTGTTGGAATCTGTAGAGTTATTTTCATGTTGCTTCTCTGGACCTGAAAATTTGCTGTCCTTGCTTTAGCTAGGCTGAATATTGCCTTAAATGATGAGTTGGGCCTTGCAGGATGGTAAATCTGTTATAAGAGGAAATGAAACAAGGCTAAGCTCTTACACAATATTTAATTGTTAACAGTTGTGCTAATGTTCTAAATAATTAGAATTCAAAACTAATTGATGTAGGCATGGAAGAAGAAGCTCCTGTTATGCCATTTTAGTTTGAACTGTTTTAGAGTGTTTAATATATGGGAGCAAATGGCAATTTGTTTAACTCATTTTGGTGGTCAAAAAGTAGACTTTCAAATCCTTTAATATTTTCTTATGATTTTTGAACTAATGCTTTTGATATAAAATTTTCTCCTTACTCTTTTTCCATGTTGTTCTACCTATTTTCTCTTCTCTGTTTTGCAATAAGTATTTCTCCATTTCAGAATCTGCTGTTATCATTAATCTGAGACCTAATCAGGGTTTTACATGTTCTATTTTGTAGAATCTTATAACAACATGTCTTGTATTGGCTGTTTAATGATGTTAACAAAAATAGATGTTACACTATAAACTCTCACCACTTCTTTGTACATACAGAATCCCTTTATCATATCCATTCTTCTTTTTGCGTTTAAGCTGAGTGTATTAGTGTAA